TTTTATCTATCCTTAACACAGAAATATTTTGTTTCCAGTATTACATGAATAGATTTCAGTGACTGGAAATGGTTACCGCAAGACTTATCTTCTACTGAACACTTATTTAAAAAATGATATTATGGTTGAATCTGTGCGTCGGTGGCATAGCGGTTAGGGCGCTCGCCAACCATGCACATGGTCCGGGGTTCAATCCCCGGCCGACGCACTCCTTTACCTCGCTAAGCCAGAAATAATGCTGGTGAAGAGGAAAGGTTGGGCATGAGGCTAGCAACCCCATCCTGTAAAATAAACACTGCTTCAGAAACTTCAAGCCACTAGCTTAGAGCCCTATGTTCCACTGGGGAAAGTGAAGGGAAAAAATGGTTGAATCAAATTCACCTACAAATGTTAAACGGTTCATTTATTCACTTTCGTTCTAGAAGGTTGGAACAAAGTCTTTTGAATAAAAACTTCATGATTGCACACAAGCATAATAGGTATAATAACTTACTATTGACTAATTTCCCTGAGTTTCTTTTGTTGCCTACAGCTACTGCAGAGGCTTATGCACAGTTTTGATGTGGAACTATTGACCGAATTGATAAGATATCCATTAATATAACGGCAACATTATAGTTAAATGTTCTTTCTCGACCATTTAATACTTTTCCTCTGTGTGTGTTAGGACATGACTAACATATACAATAACTTCTTCACTCTGTCTTAGCACTGAAATTGTTCCAGGTAGAGGTAGTTTTAGTGTGATTTGCTGGTGGTAATCTAATTAACTTTAAGTGTTGTCAAATGTCTCCTAATAGTCTTCTAGCCAAACAAATTATGACCACCCTGGTAGCCTATAGAGCGGAGCTACTAAATGAATTTTTCTTAGCTCTTCATAAAAGGCCGCTCTCTCCATGAGCTGCAGCAATTTCTTCTTCGAATTTGGGGTTTCAGTGCTCTTTATAGTCAAAATTCTCTCAGGTAATAGTTTTATCTCTCCTTTTCGCAATTCATGTCCGAACACTGAAACATTCCTTTTAGCTATCCGGGATCTCGTCTTGTTGAAGTCTACGAATGTTCCTTTTCTGAATCATTATATGTTAGCATTTCGCAGACGTACACCTTCACGTTCTTCAATTTCTTAAATGATGAGATCATTAATCGTCTAAATACAAGAAGTGGACATACCAATTCGAACGGCGTACCGATACTGGTCTTAACCCTACACTCACCCAACAAATGTACGCTACCAAATCTCGGTCGTACTGTTTTGTGAGTATCCGCTGGTATGCCAACCGTACATCTAGAAATGCAAATGCATGAGAATTTTTTAGGCGATCCAGGGTTTCTGCGAGAATTGGCAATAGCATATGGTCTCGATTCTATTATGCCTTTCAGCTTTCGGAAATTCCTACAAAATCTAAATTCTGCATTTGCTTTCTTCATCAAAAGAACTGGAGAGCTGTATGTACTGTTGATTTATTCCCTCAATCAAACAGTAGCAGGCGCATTTACCACTGTCATGAAGTTTAGCAGAAATTTCTGTTACAAAGAAATTTAAACATTCCCTAACGTCATTATGCGATGTCCCAGTAGATTAATATTTGGGTACAAGGATTCTGAAAGTCAGTAGGCAACTTGACTGAATACCGAATATGACTGTCCTCCTTTAAATACCTTCTGTTTCACTGAAGCAACAAAATATCAGAAAGCAAAATCTGACCATTGACTACGGTAACCACTTTATTAGACAAAAATAAATCACATTATCTACACTACCAATGCATATAAAATTATGCCAGGTCAATGGTTAAAATAAACTAATTTGATTGGTTGTGTAATTTCTGACATCTGGTTAAATAAGGTAGAAGATTTAGTAGGAGATCAAAGGTAAGGTTATCATTTCCACGTAATAACATAAATCTAAAATTGAAACGCGAGACTTCCTAACTCTGCATCCTATGCCTCAAAATGTAGGTTCTATGTTTGGGCAGTTCCTATCTCATTACCAGTTATATATATCCAGTTTCTTAAATTTATTTACCTAGCCTAATCAAAACGCTTGGAGGATACAACTGACTTTGGTCTAAATTAAACTTTTATCCCCATTAAAAAATCGAGCCATCTATCCACTAGAAAGAAGGCCTAGATAGTTAACCTCCACTAATTAGCAATCAACTGCATCGGAGGCAGAGTGGTAGAATGCTCACCAACCACGCATGTGGTTCGGAGTTCGATCCCTAACCAACGCATTCTTTTACCTCGCTAAGCCATTCATAAGATTGGTGAAGACGGAAGGTCGGGTATAAGGCTAGCAACTTCATACCGTATAGGTAAACATTACTGTACCGAATCTTTGAAGCTCTAGCTTGAAGCCCTATGTTCCACTGGGAACGTAAAGGAATCGGCATTGAAACTGCCTGAAAAATTCTGAATTTGAAAAGAAATCTAACCAGTAAAACATCTACAGCTAAATCTCCTTTCATTGACCAATGTCACTTATATATTTCACAGCCATCTGATTTTGTGTACGAAAATAATTAGTTTTAGAAATTCTGAAAAGTTTAATTTAATTTAATGAAAAACATGCTAGTTTGTGAAATAGTGAATTGATCAATAAATATTTTAGGATATCTGTAGTCACATAGATGGTATTCAGAAAGTTTTTCTTTATTAAGTGCACATAATTATTTATCCATTGATTATTTTCTTACAGTCCTAAAACTTTGTCCTTCATTAAACTGAGTGGTTTTTATATCTACAGCTGTTTTAGATATAAACAATTAAAAATAAGGAATGTATAACTGTACATTTTCTATAGGGAAATCTATGTGTATATATCAGTTCACCTGTTACTGTGGAGCCAGGTGGATTAGTCGTTCGACGCGTACCCTGTCCAAAAGGGTTCAAGAACATTGTCCCTCATGGCTGAAGGAAGGTAATAGTGGCTGTTTAAGGAGTGCAATAATCAAACATCTCGTCAACACTGATCATTCCATCTCAACAAACCCATTTTCAAAATGAATAACCTGCTAGAGGCAATACGCTTTCGTCTCCTTTGTATTGCTGAAATCTTAGCCATTCAGTCGGAAAAACCAGAGTTACCCATACAAAAGATCATCGAACAACATACTTCTACTATCATGGTAACAACCGTGTTGACTTCAACTGACTTGATGTTAGTGTGCTTGTTTTTTTCTAACCCCTTAAAACATTTGTAATTTTTAGAACTCTTAAATAATTCCATATTTTCCTTTGTTTCTTTGTGCATCCTAATCATAACTCACTCATTCAACTATCTATCCTATTGTGTAACTGTATTACGCTCATTCAGCTTCTTTTATGTGATGACAATCTTCACCCACCCCTAGTTACAATTTGTTTATTCATGTCTTGACAACAATAACCCTAACTAATTTTTATTCTTATCGGACAAACCCAGTGTACACGCACTCACAGAAATAAGTATATACAATTGCGATTTTACAGCTGAGTGAATGAATTCGTTGCCGCAAAAAGAGACTCTTCGCTGAAGTAAGTGTTTTGTTTTCATAGGGAAATCAATCATCGTTTCAAAGTGCTGTGATATAGTTATGAGCGGTAAACTATGCTTGAAACGTCATTCAGTGAATAATGCTGTATCAACATGCATTAACGCGAAATGGGGTCAGACACTATCCTTCTAAATTTAGAATGTTAAAGGTAATTATTTTGATAATTATTTGACAGCCTGGGCAATCAGTTACACACACACACTTGAACTATTCCAAACATGGTTTTACACACAGGATATATAGACAGTTTCATGTCTTCGTTTCTATTAATAATGTACTTTTCATGCAATATTACTATACGTTTCGCTTCTCCGTACTTATTTCCACAGAACTAACTTCCAATGTGTTCGTTATCAGACAGAAGCAGAACCTTATTATTATCATTAGTACTAGTGTTCCCTATGGGTTCTTAAACGAGTACAGGGTTTCAGCAGCATAACTCCATTTCTCTGTGTTCTCTGAATTCTTTTAATGCTGGCTTCATAGCTGTCCATGAGCTTTCCTCTCTTCCGTGTCACTTTTGCACACCGGACTCTCGGGCTCCACTTGAATGTTTCCAGTATGTGGTTACTCAAAGTTCTAATTTCTTTCTGCATGTTTTTACAGGGTAACAGGTTCTCGGTTGGCTCTTTGCAATAGTTCGTTGCTGCTTATTCTTTCTGTCCGGCGATCCGATCTTCAGTCTCAACAGAGGACAGCTGTTGACGAGCAGGCAGCTGAATATGTTTTTCGTGACGTATGTGCCAAGTATGTGAACCATATAGTGTTGAAGATTCAGATCTTGTCCTATGGCTGATTGCTGTAATCTTTCACACTAATTCGATAAAAAAGAAGGTCTGTTTTGCTTTTTCCGATTGTGGTTGGCTTTGATGCCATCCATGCTCCCACCTGTAAACTAAAATGTTTAATTTCCCATGAATTCAGATTGAATACCTAGTTAATTTTGGAATCCTCGAATACGCCTAAATGACTTTTATGAACAAAGTAATAAACTTCACTCAAAAAGAGAATTTCATCCAGTTTGTAGGCTCGAATCTTACAACAGAAATGAATGAATTCTAATATTTTGTGTTTTGAAAAAGCAGTTTTACTAAAATTCACAACTTTTAATCAAAAAATCAAAATCTGTAAGAATAACTCATAATTGTAAAAAATAGTCTAGATATATATTTATATATAAAGTAAATGTCTTATATATGTATGCAAAATAGACCTATTAAACATGATGTCAATTGTGAATCTACTTTTTATGGAAATTAGAACAAAAAAAGATTCAACTCAAATAACTAATAAATAAAATGAACACCTAACAGATCCAAATGCGTCATAACGTGTCTACTTAAAATGACTACATCATAAAAGACAATAATGTTGATGATATTTATTGTAAAAAACGTGTCACTTTACTGCAATGCATCTTTACAGTTTACTTATAACCAAATCAGTCAAATATACCTCTGATCAATATGTATATATCTAGGCACAAAAAATGAGGCGATGTAATAAAAAAAATGAGCGGTTATAAAATACTTGCGCAAAAATGATAATTTAATTACAAGTATACGGCGATTATGTATAAATATATATATATTTCAAAATGTTACCTCCTAAAAGATGGAATCATGTGAAAATACAAGCGCATTTTAAATCAGGTAAATCACACAACTTGTGTATATTTCAAATAAGCATCCCTAGCCATTTTAGACAGCTTACGAGACTCTTCGTCGCCTGTTTCACGAACTAGTTTAGCAAATGGACCAGTACCAATGATAGGCAATTCTTCATTATCCATAGATTCTATTTCTGTTACATCACCTTCACCTTGTTTGGTATGTAGCAGGATATGCGGTGCACCAGTTTCTATTATTTCACCATTTTCTAAAACAATTATGATATCATTTTCAATGATAGTTTGAAGTCGATGAGTTATCGTTAGCACTGTACATGTGGAAAATTGTTTTCTTAAAGTTTCTTGAATAAGTGAATCTGTTCTGAAAATAAAATTTTTTTAAATAAAAAAACTAAATAATTTGACTTGTAAAAAATTATATTTGTAAAGTCTCAGCGAGATTGAAATGAGTAATTCCAACGTTTCGTTCGGCATCTGGTCAAATTTAAAAACAAGTGATGTTCCTTTTTATATATAAACCTATGTTATGTTAATTTCGATTAATTTCCCTGAAGAAGTTCGGACCAGATTGCCGAACGAAACGTTGGAATTACTCATTTCAATCTCGCTGAGACTTTACAAATATAATTTTCTACAAAAAGACACATTATTTAATAACTCAGTATTTTGCAATAATAGAAAAGTTAAATTAATATTTCATATTATTACTTGGAATCCACATTTGCTGTTACTTCATCCACTAAGACGATACGATTATCGTCGAGAATAGCACGTGCCAAAGACAATAGTTGACGTTCGCCTGTACTAAAATTTGATCCTCCTTCGTCCATTAAAGTATCAAGACCTTTATCCATATTTGAAATAGTCTTCTCTAGTTGCACCTAAATAAACCATCAGAAAAGATTATAAAATTGAAAAGAGGAGTATATACGTCATTCATCTAAGAAAAGATACCCATCATATATTAATTACAAAGTCATACTTCCTATTCGAAGAGTAACAAATTCATTTACAAAACTTGAGAAAAAGGATCACTGTGAATGTAAAGATAGAATATATATTTACACTGTTTTAGTAATAAACAAAAGGCCGATATCATTGAATTTTAACGGGAGTAAATTTAGTGAATTAACTTCACTTTTCTTTGACCGATTTTCACTTGTTTGATACGAATTAGGTAAAAAAGAAAGTTTGTCATTCCTTGTATCATTTTGACAGCTGAACTTAGAAGCGCGTTTTTTAAAATATTGCTCAAAAAGCAGAACAGTTACCAGAAACAGCAATGGATGAAGCCAAAGGATTACACTTCACTGCGTTGATTATAAGGAACTTTTTCAGCCATAGCAACTAGTATTTTTGTCTTAGTAACTGAAGACTATTAATTAGCTATGTGTATGCAGCAGAAGGTTAAGAATGATTTCAACTTCAGATACTTCTCATCTGTCCTTTATCCAGCCACAGTGGGATGTGTTCAGTTACATGTTGGTTAACGAAATTTATCTTGTAATGAATAAGTAAATAACAAAGGTAGCGTATTTATTTCCCTGTGAATGTGTCGTTCCTATACACACTCCATATAGGTGATCCATCTCGACTACTCTGAACTCCGCTTTTCACAAGTGAATGTAAATGAATGGTATATTTCATTCAATTTCATTATTAATTCATTTATATCCACTTTTTTATCAGTAGTGGTAAGAGTAACAGCAATTTAGGCGTAATACCTATTCAACTTATTGATAATATTTCACAGTGATTCATTTTTAAGTCTGCTAGAAACGGGCCTAATGGTTAATACATTGCTATCTCATCCAGTCGTGTATGAAATATACTGTCGTAGAAAAAATGTATATTCACTGCAAATTTATGGAGGCCAGACTGAGGAATTTCACTGCCAAGTCGTATTTCAGTGATCAGTCAACATACGTGTCAATATATCTCATTAATCCTCAAGAATTAGTTTGTAGGGATTCTATTTATTTCAGTTTAAACCAGTGATTGGTATCAGTTAGAGAACCACTGAAAACCAGGGAGTACTGGACAGCTGTTCCATCCTAGTTTGAGACTCATCGGCAGTATGCACCCACTCGGTTTCGAACCCGGGACCTTCCTGTTATAAGGCAGGCTCGTATACTATTCAGCCACTGGGACCCGATTTAGTGGTCACCTCATGAATTCTAACTTCTATCAATTCGTGATTTTAGCGTGATCAACAGTCAGTGTCATCGGTGGGAACTCTATCGTCACTCCTGACTAGATGGACCCCACAGGTCATGACTTCAAACTAGAACTCCAGGCAACTTAGTCCTAAAGCCAGTCACTAGCGAGCACCAGATTCATTTTCAAGGATTAGTTTGTAGGGATTCTATTTGTTTCAGTTAGAGAACCACTGGACACCAGTAGGTGCCTGCTGCCGATGAGTCTCAAACTAGGATGAAATGGCTGTCCAGTACTCCCTGGTTGTCAGTGGTTCTCTAACTGATACCAATCCCCTATCTGACCTGAAACAAATATCTCATTAAGTTATACATTTTTGTATACCAACGAAATATCCAAGGATATCGAGTGATTTCCATTCACATTTGTCTCAGATAGTATAAACGTAAACACTATTTCTCTGTTCATTGGTGCAAAATTTTGAATCAACCACATTACTGTTCCATAATATGGAGAACTATTCGTGACTAAAACACAAACCAAGAGGAAGTCCCAGTTTGTTTATTTATAGTATTACACCTGTATTATGCCATTCACCGTCGTTTTCACTGAGTTATATATGGTTGTCGAATTTTTTCCACTTAGCTGTAATAACAAGATAGCGTCAGTCATTGATTTTCCCGGAAAATACACTTAGATAAATAATAATTTTATTTACCAATAAATTCTACTTATAATAGGGATCACGGCTAAGACAAAGATTAGACACTAAGTCCGACGATGACGTTTTCAAAAATGCCTACTGAACACCAAAGCAAGCAAAAGACTATTTTATTTTTTTCTCTTGATTATTTGAAGATCAGTTTAGATACTGGTAATAGTGTGGATAATCTGAACGCGTTCAGAAACATCAACAGGCATAAGAAACCTAACCTGCTAAGTTTTGCTGAGGCGATCACCATCAAACAACTAGAACCAAATCTATGTATGCACACACACATAGTAGTGACGTTTTTCACCACCTTGTGTGTTTAAACATACAAAAAGAAATTATATTGCATCATATACTTTGTTGTACGTTCTGTTCTGCTCAGAAATGTTTATTGTTTCACCTGAACATCACTCAACTTAATGTCAGTAAAAAGTTTGGAACAAAACAATTCCAACAGTGGTGTGAACACGGGCTGTAATTTTGCTCGAAATATTACCAATAACAAAACTTATCATTGTGTGTAAACTACTGAAATATAATTATACTTTATTTGATCACTCAACTTGTTCTTTCTTTTTTATTTTATAAAACATATTCCCTGCAGTTACGCAACCTGTTTTGTTGATATACTCTTTCTAGTTAAACATTGTTTCTACATAAAATTTTGAACTCTCTCTTTCTTCACGAATATTCGTTTAATACTCGATCCTTTTAGCTCTTAATAATTTAACAACTTACATCATTCCCGACTTATGTGACTTTAGTTTCTATCAATTACTCTTTGTCTTCGTGGAAAAATGGATTTTAAAAACCTTTTTTAGTTTATATTTTAGTACTGTTTGAGTTATAGCCAGTTGAGAAGAATCCTTGACACAAAACGAAGTAAGGGCTCACATCACTGTGATGTACTTGTTGCTACTGCTTCTCAAAACATAAAATGAGCAGTGTTTAATCAGTTAGTTATCATGAAAATACTAATAATATCTTTACCAAATTTTCACCCTGTAGTCAAAATATAACCTTAAAGTTATATACATAATTGCTTCTTGATAAAACATCTCTAACTCTGGTATTTGCTGAATACTAGGCCACTTCAACTATGCTAATTTTTGACGTGAATAAAAGAGTTGTTATGGTTGAAATTAGACGTAAAATTTATTTTGACTTTGGATTTCAGTCTTTTTTTGTATGAAATAATCTTTCACTCAGAAGAATATATTTCAACACTTCCAATTTGCCACCATAATTAATGAATTCCGTTTTAAGCAAACAGGAAAGAAGATTAATTAGTCCTTTCTGCTCAAACTCTGAACACAGATCCTGCCGGAAAATGTTTTTATCTGTTTAAAAAGAATTTATATTTTCAAAGTTTCCGGTATCTTACATCTCGAATAGAAATAAATGTTAGGAAATCAACAATCTGGCTGAACACTGCAAGCAGAATTCCTACTTGACATGATAAATAACAATTAATTAAGTTGTACAACTTGAAACAAACGATAAATTATAAATCACAAATTGAAATCAACCACAAAATGTCATGAAATACACGATAGGTAAAACTACTTCAAACATTTAAAATTTCATTTCCTTTTGAATTTGTTTTTTGCTCTACTTACTGAAGATAATGCATTCCAAATTCTTGCATCACTGTGCTCTCCACGTGGATCAAGATTCATACGTATAGAACCAGCAAACATCATGGGATCCTATTTGGAAGTGAAACACGTGAGCATGAAAAGAATTTAACTTTGAAGTAATAGAAAAACCTCATTCTGTTTATATTGTCAGTTGAGAGAGAGTACAACATGCATACCAACTGGCTAACAGTGATTAAAAACCAAAATTTGTAGATCAGCCACAACATACTACTGTGTATTCTTCATATTCTTCTTTGAGAAAGAACATTTTGAGTAGATTTATTGCCCATTCCACATAAATTTAGCTTATAACTTGATGGATATGTTGCTTTTTATTTGTGGGAAATGAAACCAATGATAATGGTTCTGATAGGAGTACAACAATTACTGAATTCAATGAAGTACATTCGGCTATGAAATTCACATACGAAGAGGAATCCCAAGACAGAATTGCCTTCCTGGATGTCCTACTTACAAGAAAACCAGATGGTAGCATAAAAAGAAAAGGTACTTGGACAGGACAATATATACATTTTCACAGCTTCGTTCCCATCAAGCACTAAAGAAATTTAGTGAAGACCCTCAGTCACAGAGTTAGAGCTATATGTTCAGAAGAAGTAAATGAAGATAAATAAAGCATTGTATATGATACTTTGATCGAAAATAGCTATCCCGAAAAATTTATCAAGAAACACATGACAAAGAAAGCGGAAAAAGACTACTCACTATCTGTAAACAAGGAGCCACTTTTTATACGACTACAATTCATGGGCGATATACCAAGTGACATAACTACGAGGAAATTAGGAAAATCATTTCAAAGAACTTTTGATGTTGGTGAACGACACGTATTATTCTTTATGCGACCGATGATGCTACCTCGACTGAAAGATGAAGTACCTAAACTAGCCGCTTAAAATTGTATCTACCAATTCAACTGCGCTTGTGGAGCGAGTTATATTGGCCGTTGCTGTAGGAACTTGATTTTTCGTGCTCGAGAACACATCCCACTATGGCCAAGTAAAGATGTAGTTAAAACCATTAACAGTTCGATATTGGACCATCTGGAGCGAACCGGCCACAAAGCCAGCGTCGAAGAATTCTTCTCTAATAAATTGCCAAAATCATCGAAGCAACACATGCTCCAAACAACAGAGGCTATTACAATTCACCTCAAACAACCAGTGCTCTGTGATCAAAAGAAGCATGTCCAGCCCCTACTACTTCCCGCGCCTTCAGTAGAGACTATAAATTCATGAATTTGTAATATTATCTTTCCTAATTTTTCTGACATTCAGCTTATTTTAGGTTGATGTTATTGAGCTGTAATCTGTCGATATTATTGATTCGATGTTATTTAAACATTAATGTTTTTCAAAACACTAATTCACTCATTCCCTATAATGTGTATATATAACTGTAGAGCCTGATGATGAATTTATCGAAAAGAGTACCCTTTGTTCAGTATCCATTTTTTTGAAAATTTTAATGGGCATTTTTATTCAGTTAAAACTAGAATTCTTTTTCTGATTACAGTGTTTTGTTATCTTCTACATATTTCATCATTTAGCTTACAAAGTATCAGAATAATTAATGTATTTTTATGTAATAACATGCCAGAATTAATGAAGCGGTAGGTTTTCGTGTATTATTTCTTGCGTCATTACACTTATCATAATAAGAATGATTCTTAACATATATCACTATAAAACTTATCAACATGTTGATGTAATCGTAAATCATATTGCATACAGTACTACTACATAACGATTAGGTAAAGTGTACTTAGGTGCTAATGGTAAACTTGTTAATGAAGAATATTTTCTTAGTAAAAGGTGGCCTGAATGATTATTACCTGTGACCAGCCATAAAATAAAAAAACGTATTACAAAAATAACACCGTGTACAACAATTCTATGCTGTTACAAGTAGTTGTAAATGTCACTAATGCATACAAAGCGTCATCAACAAGTATTGATAAGAAACATTGAGGTATCACGTACGAAAATTGTCAAGCTGGGACTGTTTTAAACAATGCAAGCAATAAATGAATTCAGTGTTACTTTAAACTCTGAAAAATAGCATATTCTTGGGTAGCCTTTTTCCACATTTCTGGAATTAATGGCTACAAGTGCACATGAATATAAGTGAATTTTTCTGTAAATTTTAGACATTTAGCAGTTTACTTAAGGCCTAAAGACTGAAAAGATATCAAATTTCAAACTATTGGTTGATTGAAAATCTCTCTTGGTTTACTAACCGGTCTCAAGCTTGCAGAGGGTAGGAGATGGAGCATGGATACAGCATTCGTTTCCTGTAAAATTACAGCCGCATCCCTACTGAAACTTCAAAGCCCAGAAAGTATTAACTTATTCTCCGTTGAGGTTAGGTAGGACGGATTATAGAGGCTGATAGTAGTCTTCAAGAAGCCAGCTGACCTTAAGGACATGGAATGTCCGCACAATGCTTGAGGCTGAGAGGTCCGCTTGGATGACAAAAGAAATGCGGAGATATTGTATAAAAGTGCCAGGATTTTGTGAGAGCAGATGGAATGAAATTGGACTCACCAGCAGTTGGCTGAAAAGCCAACAAAATGCTCCGGTCGTGCAAACGACAGTCGCGAGCACACTAAGGGTGTGACTATCATAATATCATCAACAGCACTCAAGGCCCTCATGAAGTGAGAATAAATCACCCTCATAATCATGAAAGCAAGATTCAACTCAAAGGGAAATAAAGCTACAGTTATACATTACTACAAACATCGCATAGCAAGAGAAGGGAAAGGAATTTTAAACACCGTGGCAAGCAGTAGTGGACAAAACATCAGCTATATGTCAACAAAGAAATTCCGGTAAGTGACATGAATGACAAGCTGGGAGCAGACAACGGAAGAAAAGAATTTATCATTCATCGACAGGTGATTAGTAAAATGAATGAAAACGGATACCTGCATGCAGACTTCTAGGAGTCCGATCATTTGAGATAGGAAGCAAAGTTCTCAAGCATAAGGCAACGTGGGTTTCACTAGATGGACATCCTAAAAATCAGACAGATTTGATATCAATTTCAGGTAAGTGGAGACGCAGCCTACTGGACACAAAATCGAGAAAAGCAATAGATGTAAGCTCAGATCATCATCCAGCATAAGGAATCCTTAAGGTCATTTTGAAAGCCTTAAAACCGAGTTCAGTTCAGTACTTAGATACTGAAGAACGAAGCTTCAGGCCTAATCACAAAAAGATTAGACACTAAGCAACACCACCAGGGAAACCTGAATAGAAAAACACTGGATCTACCTGAGGGCAAAATGGTAGGAAACCTGTACATACATCTTATGCAAGAAGAAGAGACAAGGAGTAGCCCTCAATGGACTCTTGGAAGCTGATTGAAGAGAAAAGGATGAAGTAGCAGAGAATGAACTTGTAAAGAAGTGAAAAACGAAAGGAAAAGCTTAGAACTATCCACCGAGCATTTGGTAAAGGATTGAAGAAGGGTACTAATAAAGATAAAATACGCTTTCAAATTATACTGGCAACTGAAGCATAACAGGCCACAGGTAAGAGAGGCCCGACAGTAATATATCAAATAACCAAGTTACTATCCATGAAGATATCAACACGAATGAAGGCATTTAAATATGTAAAACTAAGGAAACGCTTGGCTAATCAATTCACAGGACACTACCTACAACAAGACTAGAAATACCATCATCAGATACAGAATCACCAATAAATAACCACCCTTCAAAAATGCAGAAGTTTTGAAGGCCATACAGTCGGTAAAAGCCAGGAAGGCAGAAGGACCAAATGGAATCCACACAGAAGCACGGAAGACGGACGCACATATTCCAACTGACATGCTGACGCAGATTTTGAAGAAAGGATAGGCACCTGATGCGTTGAATAAACACTATCTTGCCAAATTGTAAAGAAGGGTGACTTAAGGCTTTGCAGGAACTCATACTCTTGTCCACTTCAGGCAAAATATTAAACTGAATCATCCTGGAGAGATTAAAAGAAAGTCCTAGACAGGAGGAGTTGCTATAAGCAAACAATTTACAGGAAAAAAATCATGAGCAGATCACTGCCACGCATTATCATCGAACATAGCTTAGAATGATACTCAACTCTTTACATCAACTTCATTACATTTGAATCGGTCCTCGACAACGTCAACCGTAAAGTTTCGAACAGCATTTCAATTCAATGACCCAATACACCAACAGATAACAGGAACACCGATGGGATCATCCATACAATGGTTAAATGCTAAGGGCGTTATGTGAATATAGAAAACGATAGCTGTACCGATTATCAAACCAAAAATTTGGATACATAAAGTTAATGACACATCTGTCATAATTAGGACAAATGATTTAGAACGCAATTACAAATTAATCAACAACATCTTTGAAGACATCAAATTCACAACACAATAAGAATCAGATGATAAAATTCTTTCTTTAGGTTACTTAGTCAGCAGACCAAACACAGGGAATCTAAAGATACAGGTATACAAGAAATCAATCCACACAGACCAAACACTCAACAATAGCAATAATAATCCAATGACACACTAAAGAAACCGTGTACAAATATTAGTCATAAGAGCTAAAACACATTGTAGTAGTCCAGTCCTGAAGGCAATAAAAGAGAAATATTTCTTAAATCGTAAGGAAAAGTCGACATCCCTACACTTTCATTAAAAGAATGTCTAATCTAGAATCTAAATGCCAGAAAGAAACAACCCTCCAAAACCAAAAGAAAATTCATCCTGTCATATAAAAAGAACATCTCTAAAATAACGGCTAAAATATCCAAATTATTCGAAATACATACAGGGAACAAACCAGCACAATCACTTCATTCAGTAGAATATAGAACATAAGATCCAACAGCAGAAGAAGACAAATGATATAAGAATAAAACTTGTGTACTGTGGTAGAGTGTAATTCCATTATGGGTAAATTTTGTTTTGATTAAGTCTCACAGTGTTATACAGTAATATATACTGATGACGTTTCGACCAGAATTTATTACTGCTCATAACCACATCAAGGTACTCACACAACTTTCCAACTTCGTTTATTTACATGATTAACAAACTGGTGATTAGACAATATCGATGAAGAAATGAAGGTCAATATAAAGTTCAACAGACATGCGTTAAATAGATGATAGGAAATGTGAATGCAGTAAGATTGGAAATAAGACGAGTGTTATCAGTCAATAAAATGAGTGTTTTCCTATTTTTCTGACAGGAAGCAGTGCACTGTCTACAATGGAAAGTCCTCCACTACCTCACTTACTTTAGCTGGTGTTCCTCAAGGTGCTGTTCTTTCTCCTTTTCTGTTTTCATTTTTCCCATATGACTTGCCCCATTCTGATGTAGCCACTTTTGTCAAGTATGCTGATGACCTCTCTGTCTCCATGCCTGTCAATTGTCAGTCAGACTGTTCCAAATTAAATAACTTTCTCTCGGAAATTAGTCAGTGGTGCTCTTCAAACAGTCTTAAGCTGAATCCGTCTAAATGTCAGGTAGTGAATTTCACTTTCAGACGAAAATGTGACCTACAACAACTAGCTAGCTCACATGGTCCCACTATCATTGACGGCATAGAGGTTGAAACTACATCTAATGTCAAGTACCTTGGACTGAGTATTTCCTCCGATCTTTCCTGGTCCTCTCACATCTTACTAGTTACTAAAAAGATGTTTCGCTTAACGTTCTACCTTAGGAAGTTAAGGCAGTCTGGTATAAAGCAGTCTTTTCTTTCTCAGTTTGTCAACTCTTGTATTCTAACCATCCCTCTTGACTGCTCCCCATTAATCTTTCCTGGACTACTTAAGAAAGATTTTGCTTTGCTGCGTAGGGCATTACAGGCTGTTAGTAGGGCAAGTGGGATTTCGTTAAACCAACTGGTTAACACTATTGTGGATAGACATATAATGTCATGTATGAAACTAGCGAATTCTATAGTGTCAGACCCCGAACACCCTCTCTATACGCAGCTCTCTCCTTGCATTTCATCTGGCAGAACTAGAAGCAACTATAGGAAGCTATATGCTAGGACTACCAAGTACAAAACTCCACAATACCTTATCTGGCACAGCTGTTATGTGATGAGAAATCCGTTAGGTATGACACGATCAACTTACTGCGGCACTCTAACAAATAGTTCCCATTAACGTTTGTTCTCCTTTCTTTGTTACTATTATATTGTTGTTCACATATTCTATTACACACTAATTTTATATTTCATATCTTGTGGTGCATTGTTTAAATATGTGAATGCAATGCTGTTCTTTTTTATTTCTTTTATTTCTCTTTTTTCTTTTTGTTGTTGTTGCTTTTTATTTTTAAAAATCTTATAAAAATTCATGAGGTAATTAGATGCAATATTGTAATGCACGCTGAAAACTCCATACCTGTACCACAACTAGTGTTTGGAATAAAGCTACTATTATTATTATTATTAATATAGTATTAGAGTGTGACAATATTAGCTGACATGAAACAAAAGGAAATGATATATTTTTTACCTATGATTTGAGTGGTGGTAATATTTTCCATATCTCCGGTATTTTTTGAGTCACTAGTTTCTATGCCATGTGTTAGGTGTAGATTCGATAAACAAAGGCCAAATAATTGACCTGTCTTTCCACCTACTTATATTACATTTTAGAACTGTAACTCTGTTCCACCCTACTGTGTGGTTATGTATTAGTGTATACATTGCAATCGCTAAATATGTTTCTAAATTACTCATCTTCTTCATGGGCGCAACAATTCTACATTTGGCTAAATCCGATAATCTGGCTAACTCAGATCTACTGGTTTGATCTAGGTATAGCTGACAGTCAATGCAAGGTATTTTGTGAATTATATTATTTTGTCGAATTGGGTCAGTGGGGTACTTTAAACAAGACAGCTTGTCCCTGAGTTGGGTTACAAGTTTAAATACCATCCTAATTCCCGCTCTATTAAGAATCCTACATAGGGTTTCAGATATCCCTTCTTTATATGGTAAAACTGTAGGTGTCTAAAATTCTCTCTTATTTGTATTGTCGTTACTCGCTTCACTATATTAAAATTATTATTATTATTATTATTATTATTATTATTATTATAGTTAAACTAGGAACGGTAACGATAACACTCACCTTATTGACTGACAGCATTCGTCTTATTTCCAATCTTACTGCATTCACATTTCCTAATGTACTTCAATCTTCCTTTCATCTATTTCATGCATGTCTGTTGAACTTTATATTGACCTTTATTTGTTCATCGATATTGTCTAATCACCAGTTTGTTACTCATGTATATAAACGAAGTTGGAAAGTTGTGTGAGTACCTTGATATGATTATGAGCAGGAATAAATTGTGGTCGAAACGTCATCAGTAAATATAACTGCGTAAAGCTTTGTGACTTAATCGAAATAAATTTCATCCATAATGGAAGTATACTCTACCAAAAAGTACTAGTCCTTTTCTTAAAGTACAATAAAGACTTCCAAGAGATAAGGTTATAACGTTCACAGAAAATTCATATAAGTTTCCTTCTATATTAAACCTTGAATTGGAGATGGTGTCTAGACGGAGAAAGAAAGCTTAGCAATAATATCACCCAGCTGAGTAGAGGCAACCATATTAAAATCATCTACCTGAGCTATAAATCTTCCTTATTATTTCAATAGCACTGATAAAACAATACGATGATTTAAATACATATGGTATAGAGATTTCTCGACATCTTAATCTCACACAATTAACAAGAGAAGTCTAAAGGTAACCAGTCTAACACTGCATAGCTTAATAATGGGAAAAATTTTCTTTCTCCCCTCATCTCATCACAGTTTACTTATCCTATTGCGACAAAACTTTTCTGAAATAATATAAATGACACACACAACAATAGACTTTGCTTTTAAATGTTTAACACTTTTTTTTAAAACAACGAACATACTTGTGGAACAACAGAAATATGTTTCCTCAGTTCTTCTAATTTCACTTTCTTGATATCAACATCATCTATTAATATCTTGCCTTGTTCTCCTGTTACTAGTCGAAGAATACAAGAGAATAAGGTACTTTTACCAGACCCCGTACGACCAACTATTCCAACCTAGATGTATGTGATAAATAAATAAAATGCAAATCTTTTGAAATCTTCAACAAATGACTTTGGATATTTAAAATCAAAACAGAAATACTAACTAGGCATAAAATACTTTACAGGATTTCATCATGTCACATATATACAGAATACAAGGCAATCTTGCTAAAAGTGTACGGATCAAACTTCTCCACATCACAGAAGCAATGGCAATTCATCTGCTAAATCCTGAACTCAGCATACAAAAGAAATTCGTTCATTCATTAAATCTACAATGGACGTAATCTTTCTTAACTTCAGTCTTACTAATTGTTTTATTTTGTCTTTTGCATTTTATTATTTCACATCTTCATTTATATTATTCTCTACCCCACCCTTTTGTAATCTCTACCCTGATTAACAATGTTGCTAACTTGACCCACGTCCAATTTCTAGTCAACTGTGTTACGTCATCCGATTAAATTACTTATTTTCAACTGTATTATTCTCTAACCCCACCCTTATTTAATTTTAACCGTCACTCATTAACACTGTTTCCAAGCTGACCTACTCTGAATTCTACTCAACTGTATTACGTCATCCGATTCACTTAATCAATTCTATTTTATTTTCTATCTTGACGTTTGTCTCCAAGCCAAATAATACTTATATTACATAATTATCTAAACTTTGTAAGTCTAATGTACACACACACAAAAAAAATTGTATAAATATGCGATTGTACAGCTCAGTGAATGAATTCGCCGAAAAGAGTCTCTTCGCTGAACGCCTTCTTTTCTTTTATTTCATCATGAGCTGATATCGGTTACGGAACAACTGGAAAACCTAGAAGTACTAGACAGCCGTTTCGTCCCAGTTTGGGACTCTTCATCAGTACGCACCTACAGCAGGGGGTTAGAACCCAGGACCTTCTGTTTACAAGCCGAGCTTGTAGACCATTAAACCGCTGGGACCTGATCCAATGGCCCATGAATTCCAACTTCTGCCATATAGTACTAATGCCATTGACCATTATTTTTCCCATCAAATCATGAAATTTTCAATATGTTAGTGATTAGGCCAAAAAGTCATTTTTATCGAATAAAATACCTTAAAGCCAGATTCAATGACGAAATTAATATTTTTAAGTGCCCATGACTGTTCTCCATCGTAACTTATACTAAAATTCTGAAATTCAATATGTCCAGATTGCGGCCAATTATCAGGAAGTGTAACCTGATTTGACGTGTAATTTAATTCTGGTGGCAGATCAATATACTCAACGATTCGTTCTACAGAAACCATCTGAAATATGACAAGGAAAAAAAGAAGAAATAATTTTAATGACTAGAAGAAATGAATGTTTAAAAAAAATATGTTTAATCCGAACTGAATGAATATATTTGATTTCGGAAAGACTTTTCACCAGAAAATTCTTTTTTGGTACACTATATAGGGCAAAGTTAAACTATCGCAGCTAAAATTGTAGTGAATCAATTAGTGGAGCAATAAGAAGCGCGATCATTGAACATCTGATCGATAATGATCACCCTATCTCTTTAGCTTAGTTCCCTTGATGGATAGCTGGGAAAATATAGCACTTAATACGTTTAATCCTACCCCAAAAATATGGTGGAGATATGTGGATGACACTTTCACAGTGTTAAAAACAGAGCATATCTCTAGCTTCTTGACACACATAAACTCACTAGTGGAGGGAATAAAATTCACATTTGAAACCGAAAATGAGCAAGGAGAATTAGCTATGTTAGATCGTAAAATAAAACGAATAGAAGAAGGCAAACTACACACTAGTGTTTATAGAAAACCAACGCATTTTAATGGATATTTAGACTTTAATTCATCTCATACTTTAACTGTTAAGGCAGGCTTAGTTAAGTGTTTAACAAACCGAGCAATGGCACTAAGTAGCACAAAAAAAGACCAAAATGATGAAATAAAACAGATAGAAGAGGCGTTGGTGTTAAATAACTATCCTCTAAAATTCATTAGGAAGATTGAAAAACGCCAAAAGAAAAATAAAAATAATTGTGAAACTAGTAATAATAACATAAATAAGAGAGAATATAAGTCATCTACAGTTATACCATATAAAGAGGGGACATCTGAGACCCTACGTAGGATTCTAAATAAAGCAGGAATTAGGGTGGCATTTAAACCTACAAACTCACTCAAAGACAAGCTCTGTAGGTTAAAGGACCCAGTGGACCCAATTAGACAAAATAATATAATTTACAAAATACCCTGCAATGACTGTGAGGTCAACTACATAGGTCATACTAGTAGGTTAGGAGTAGTCAGATTGTCAGAACATAAGAATTTAGCTAAGGTAAGAATGGTTGACCCAGAGAAGATAAGTAATTTAGAAAAAAACTCGGCAATTGCAATGCATGCATTAACACACAACCACACAATAGTGTGGGAGAGGGTTAAAATTCTAAAAAGTAATCTAGGTAGGTGGAGAGAGAGGTTGATTACTGAATCTTTGTTCATCGAATCTACACCCAACACATGCAATAGGAATGAATCATCACTCATACCTGAAATATGGAAAATAATACTACCAATCAAATCAAGTGAAAATCAAGTGGAAAACAATGGAACTATCTCTTTAGCCTCCACCTTCAAAGTCGTCTACAAGGCAAAGAGTAATTTACCCAAATCCCTACGTACCCGACTCATCTGTATTGCTGAAGCTTTGGCTATAGAAACAGAAAAGCCAGATCTGTGTGTACAGAAAACGTTCGTTCAACCCCTCCAACTTTCATGGTTTTAATCCCTCTATGCTAAAGTATGGTAATCCCCAATCATATTTTGGCTCTACCAATTTTTCATCCTTTCATTTTTGTCTATTTATTTTGTATATTTTTTCCTTATTACGTCAATTGTTACTATTACTACTCTCACTTTTAATTGTCCCCGGTATTATTTCACTTGTTCCACTTGTCATTCTAAATCAATTCCTTTATGCAACATTAAATTCTATGCTATTAAATTTCACACAATATTACGTAACGTTTTTATTTTATTCGATTTGTCTACTAATCCTATAATTGCACACCCTTTTTCAAGTTCTATCCATCCTATGACATTAATTTGCTTTGCCACTTGACATTTAACTACGATTATAATCACAAACATTTTAGTTTTAATTGCATTTCACATTATTATTATTATTTTATGCATTCACACTTATGTTTCAATTCCCTCACCGCATATAACTTCTTAAAAACCATATATATACGATTGTACAGCTTGATGATAAATTCGTTGAAAAGAGTCTCTTCGCCGAATCATTTGTTTTGATTTTCTATATGTTGCAATGGGAAGTTTCCATGATTTAAAATTATAGTGACCTCGAATGACCAATCAGGATTCAGATGCGAAAGAGGCCGCATAATCGTTGAATGAAGAATGCATTAAATAATTGCAAACATGATATTCTCTACATGATTGTCGCTTTTGTGTTGTAAGAATTTCTCCCAGTCACTACATGGATAATCTATAGAGAGATCATATCATGCGTGATAGAAGCATTCCTCCAGATGACTGTAGATCATTCTACTTTGAGATCTATTGATATTTCTGACACACTGTTCTTTAACCTACTCCTAACTCTTACCATAATCCTAACTTCTGATCCTGGCTTTAAGCCTAATCCTAACCTTAACCTAAACTTAAAAAACATAATCCTAAATGAGAGTATAGATTTACAGAAAAAGTACCTAGGGAATAAGTAGAATACTCTATCTACCCTCTCCAAAGGCAGCCATGGTTTAATTTGGAATGAAGTTTCATTGTGTTCCCTAAATCTGACTGGTTCTTGAAAATCAGCTTTGACAGACCTTGACTTTGATTATGATGGTTAAACTTCCCCCTATTTAGTTCTGTTTTAATCCTTTTATGTCGTCATTAGATTCATAATTCCAAAAGCAAGTATTCGGCCATTGAAGCACATTATTATGTTTCCTTAAGTTAAAATCATTTAGTTAGTAGTTGCATCATATCATTGCTCTAAGCGAAATTCCCACTGCATATGAACCTAGTCTCTGGATAATTTATGCAGTTTTGTCTCTTGATTTATCTATATATGTTTTATATGATTTATCTAACCAGCCTAATGATTTATATGCAGGTATGTGTCAATCAAAGTTCTCGTGAAATAAAAAAGACACGTGAAATTATTTATAGTAATGTGAATTGGTTCAATATGACTTCAGTCCTTACAATCACGTGATTTAAGTTGCAGATGTATTTTGGCTGAAGAAATAATCCATTTTGGTAAGCCATTCAAATACACAGAATTATAGGATTTTCATCATGAGCTGACATTAGTTAGAGAACTATTGGAAAACCTGGGAGTACTGGACAGCTGTTTCGTCCTAGTTTGGGACTCTTCAGCAGTACGCATCCACCGGGATTCGAACCCAGGACCTTCTGGTTACAAGGCGAGCTCGTATACCATTAAGCCACTGGGACCCGATCCAATGGCTAGTGCATGAATTCTAACTTCTGCCAATTCACGATATAGCACAACCGCTAGTCAATGTCTTCGGCGAGTATTTGTCCTCACACCCGACCTGCTGCACCCTACTGGTTACGACTTCTCACTAGAACCCCAGGTAACTACCTACCTGAATAAGGCAAGTCACTAGTGTGCTGTCCAGTACTCCCAGGTTTTCCAATGGTTCTCTAACTAATGTCAGCTCATGATGAAAATCCTGTAACCAATCAAATCCCTACAAACCAACACTTGAACACAGAATTATAAGTGGGCTGGTATGTACCTTGATAACTCATCAGGTACCTTAGAATAAAATGTAGCCAAATTCTGGTACACTGAAAACCCCATGAGTTTGAAGGGCATGGAAACATGTCGTATACTGTCAGACCTCACTAATGAAATTAACCGTTTATGTTGCTATTCTACCCAAATACGTAGGGAATAAATGTGTCCAGATTCTGGTTCGCCCATAATCCTTTTCTTTTGAATGACTTAGCAACATGTCGTTTGCTCTCACTAAAAAATCATGAGTGGAGAAAATGTGTCTAAAATGGCTTACTAACATGCGGCATGTCATTAGTCTTTTCTCTATTTATAAGGATAGTTTAGTGTTCTACAATACTCACTAATTTTAACTCTATGAAAGTCTTATTTTACTGCTATCTTCGATTTAACTGAAGGTAAACTACATGTTGCGAGGCTATTCAAATACATCAGAATAAATGGTGACCGCAATGAAAACTTTACTGATAGAGTTCAGTCTGCACCAAAAATAGGACTAGACACATTACACTAGTTACTGACTAGTATTCAATCAAAATATCCACTACAAAATATCTCTACATCTCTATAGCCAGTCGTGAGCCTGAAAAGCTGAAAGGTAACGTCTCTGACTGCATCACTGGGTAACGCGGGTTTGGGTTTCAGAAGGGACATGAGTTTCTTCAAGGTTGCAGAGAGGCTTTGCAGACTGATGAGTGCCAACTAACACAACACCTAGGTCCAAGACTTCCTCCCTATTGCCTCCAACCATCTAACATCAACATTAGAATAAATGCATCCAAATTATAGTTCTCTCATAATTAAAAACACAGTTTTTGTTCAGCGAAGAAATTTCTTTTCAACGACTTCATTTTCAAGCTGTACAGTCGTATTTATATTACAGAAAAGGTCATTAAGTGGCACTAAATAATTGCTCAGTCAATATACATATATGTGATAAGAATAACGATTATTAAAATGTTATAAGGGGTAGAGTTGAAGTGGATAAATTACAAAATTATTAAAGATTGTTTTATAAGTGAATTGAAAAATGTTTTAAAAATGTCAAGTGTTGTCTAAAAATTTTATAAAATAAGAGTACGATTACGATAAGAATGAAGATGTGAAGTGAAGTGGAAAGAATTCAAGTGGTAAAATAAAATAAAGTAAAAACTAGAAAGAACATTACTATGACCAAGGTAAAGAAAGGGGTTTGACAAAACGTTTTTGAACACATAATTTAGGTTTCTGTTCATGTATAGCTAAAGCTTCGGCTATGCATAAGTGAAGAAAACGTAAACTTTTGGATCGATTCGATTTTGCCATGTAGATAACTTTGAAAGATGAATCACGTGGGGCTAAATGACCTGACTCTAACAGGTGATCACAGATAGACGACTTCGCAGTTCTACGTTCGCCTTTCATTAACCAGACTGGATAGTGTTCAGCTACACGTTTTCGGAGATTACGCTTACAACGTCCAATATAAACAGCTCCACAAGAGCAGGTAAAAGAGTAAATACACATGGATGTGGACAAAAGCGGTAATCTATCCTTGACGCATTGTCTAATCATATTTCGGCTGGTAAAAACTAGTTGTAAGTCAGCTGCAGGAAAAGTACGTTTAATACATTTAGATAAACGATTTTTAATCAATTCCGAAATGGTGTCACCTTTGAATGCCAGACTCATAAACAGTTTTTTCTTCGGCACTGTAATTTGTCTGGGGGCGTGTTCTTTCTTGATGTTACGTTCGATAAACCTTGTAGGATAACCATTATTAAGGAGATTTGATCGAAGCTTATCTAGTTCACTATCGATTGTCTCTGCAGAGCAGATTTTACGAATTCTAGAGCATAAGGAATGAATAAGATTTCTCTTTCTCCCTAACGGTACCCAACTGTTGAAGTTAGTGTACTGCCCAGTGAATGTTGGCTTTCGGTAAATCGACCTTAGCAACGTACCATTCTCTCTTCTATCTAGCTTTACATCAAGGAAGTGAAATGAGGAATTCGACTCTTCTTCGACCGTGAAAAGCAAAGATGGGTGAGAACCATTAAATATTCCAAGAAGTTCAGCAGTTGAAGAGTTTTCGTCACATACAATGAAAGTGTCATCTATATATCTTTTATACATAGACAAACTACCGATGGTTTCCTTTAGTGGGCCATTCTCTAAGCTAGCCATGAAGACGTCCGCTAAGAGCGGTCCTAAAGGAGAACCCATTGCGACTCCATCCCTTTGATTGTAGATGACATCATTAAATCTAAATTGCACATTCAGTGTGCATCTCAATAATAGTTGTTTAAGATCTTCAGTTGGTAACCCAATGTTCATGCTATTTGAATCAATATACTCACATAGATAGCAGATAGTGTCTACTAGTGGTACATTTGTGAACAAAGAACAAACATCTAGCGAAATCATATGCTTACCAGACACATTAATTTCATCAACACAACTGACAAAGTCAAAAGTATCCGAAAGACTATGTTTACATAGATTTAATCTCACTGGTTCCAGAATTTCCGCAAGCCATTTAGCGGTAGGGTGATACGGTGAATTCAGCATATCCAATACAGGTCGCAGAGGGACATCATCTTTGTGCACCTTTGGAAGACCATATAAACGGGGATAGTTGAACCAGATGGTTTAAGCTGATCAAACATATATGGAGTAATGACGCATTCTTGCTTTAGTTTTGTCAAAGTTTTTGATAATTCTTTCTCAATGTTCTCTGTCTTGTCTTTTTGATCAGGTGATTTTTGAAATTTATCTTCATCACTCAGAATTGTACATAATTTGTTGACATAGTCCTCACGATTAAGAATGACAATACCTGATCCTTTGTCTGGACGAATCAGTATTATGTTTTTGTTGTTAAGCAATTCATTAAGCTGTCTTTTGTGTTCTTTTGATAACATATGTCGTTGTCTGCCTTGCGTTCTTTGGTACTGGTAATAACAATGAAGTAATGCAGATTTAAATTGTTCAACGTCTTCACTAGACGTTGGACTCAAGTCGTGTGTTTGATTCATGAGATTTTCAAACTGAACTTTTGTGTCAAATTCGTTGACTCTAGTGAAGACGTTGAACAATTTAAATCTGCATTACTTCATTGTTATTACCAGTACCAAAGAACGCAAGGCAGACAACGACATATGTTATCAAAAGAACACAAAAGACAGCTTAATGGATTGCTTAACAACAAAAACATAATACTGATTCGTCCAGACAAAGGATCAGGTATTGTCATTCTTAATCGTGAGGACTATGTCAACAGATTATGTACAATTCTGAGTGATGAAGATAAATTTCAAAAATCACCCGATCAAAAAGACAAGACAGAGAACATTGAGAAAGAATTATCAAAAACTTTGACAAAACTAAAGCAAGAATGCGTCATTACTCCATATATGTTTGATCAGCTTAAACCATCTGGTTCAACTATCCCCGTTTATATGGTCTTCCAAAGGTGCACAAAGATGATGTCCCTCTGCGACCTGTATTGGATATGCTGAATTCACCGTATCACCCTACCGCTAAATGGCTTGCGGAAATTCTGGAACCAGTGAGATTAAATCTATGTAAACATAGTCTTTCGGATACTTTTGACTTTGTCAGTTGTGTTGATGAAATTAATGTGTCTGGTAAGCATATGATTTCGCTAGATGTTTGTTCTTTGTTCACAAATGTACCACTAGTAGACACTATCTGCTATCTATGTGAGTATATTGATTCAAATAGCATGAACATTGGGTTACCAACTGAAGATCTTAAACAACTATTATTGAGATGCACACTGAATGTGCAATTTAGATTTAATGATGTCATCTACAATCAAAGGGATGGAGTCGCAATGGGTTCTCCTTTAGGACCGCTCTTAGCGGACGTCTTCATGGCTAGCTTAGAGAATGGCCCACTAAAGGAAACCATCGGTAGTTTGTCTAAAAGATATATAGATGACACTTTCATTGTATGTGACGAAAACTCTTCAACTGCTGAACTTCTTGGAATATTTAATGGTTCTCACCCATCTTTGCTTTTCACGGTCGAAGAAGAGTCGAATTCCTCATTTCACTTCCTTGATGTAAAGCTAGATAGAAGAGAGAATGGTACGTTGCTAAGGTCGATTTACCGAAAGCCAACATTCACTGGGCAGTACACTAACTTCAACAGTTGGGTACCGTTAGGGAGAAAGAGAAATCTTATTCATTCCTTATGCTCTAGAATTCGTAAAATCTGCTCTGCAGAGACAATCGATAGTGAACTAGATAAGCTTCGATCAAATCTCCTTAATAATGGTTATCCTACAAGGTTTATCGAACGTAACATCAAGAAAGAACACGCCCCCAGACAAATTACAGTGCCGAAGAAAAAACTGTTTATGAGTCTGGCATTCAAAGGTGACACCATTTCGGAATTGATTAAAAATCGTTTATCTAAATGTATTAAACGTACTTTTCCTGCAGCTGACTTACAACTAGTTTTTACCAGCCGAAATATGATTAGACAATGCGTCAAGGATAGATTACCGCTTTTGTCCACATCCATGTGTATTTACTCTTTTACCTGCTCTTGTGGAGCTGTTTATATTGGACGTTGTAAGCGTAATCTCCGAAAACGTGTAGCTGAACACTATCCAGTCTGGTTAATGAAAGGCGAACGTAGAACTGCGAAGTCGTCTATCTGTGATCACCTGTTAGAGTCAGGTCATTTAGCCCCACGTGATTCATCTTTCAAAGTTATCTACATGGCAAAATCGAATCGATCCAAAAGTTTACGTTTTCTTCACTTATGCATAGCCGAAGCTTTAGCTATACATGAACAGAAACCTAAATTATGTGTTCAAAAACGTTTTGTCAAACCCCTTTCTTTACCTTGGTCATAGTAATGTTCTTTCTAGTTTTTACTTTATTTTATTTTACCACTTGAATTCTTTCCACTTCACTTCACATCTTCATTCTTATCGTAATCGTACTCTTATTTTATAAAATTTTTAGACAACACTTGACATTTTTAAAACATTTTTCAATTCACTTATAAAACAATCTTTAATAATTTTGTAATTTATCCACTTCAACTCTACCCCTTATAACATTTTAATAATCGTTATTCTTATCACATATATGTATATTGACTGAGCAATTATTTAGTGCCACTTAATGACCTTTTCTGTAATATAAATACGACTGTACAGCTTGAAAATGAAGTCGTTGAAAAGAAATTTCTCTCATAATCCTAAGTATTTGAATAAATTAGCAACATGCCGTTTAATTTCGGTTTTCTATTGTACATTATGATTGTAATATGGATGAAGTTAAACTTTATGCATCAAAAGAGTGCCATGTACCAATGACCTTAGAATGCCCAGTCAGCAAGTTAGTGAAACCAGGTAAATGACACTATAATCATGAGTAAAATATGCCTAATGAGGTGTTAAGATATAAAGCGAGATATCTGGTAAGTTTTTCGGGGTCAGGTTTGGGAAAAATCTAGTTAGTGTTTAGACTAAGGATTACTTAGGGTTAGGTTAACCTAATAAGAGAGATTTTAGAGTTAGTTCAAGTTAGATTATAGATAGTTTCGTCTTAAGATTAGGTTAAGAAAAGATGACGGTTAAGGTTAGTGTTAGAAGATGGAGATGAATACATATATTGAGTGTGGTTTAATTAGCCTAATAACACCCCAATGCAAAAGTGGGAGGTATTTTGTGGAAGAAGGATATCCTGGGTAACAGTTTCTTGACATTTTATTCATCATTTTCATAAATATGTATTTTATACGTAAAATCTATTGTGAAGAAAAAAAGACAACTTAGAGAAGAAAAGGTTCCTCATCAGTAGAATCAATTACTCAATAACCAACATGATCACAGAAATAAGGATTTAAAATTTGAGATGAAAAGACTGTTATTAGATGCATATATACACAAACATGATGCGTCGGTGGCACAGAGGTAAAGTGCTCGCCAGCTACTCATGTGGTTTGTGTTTCGATCCCCAGCCAACAGACTCCTAAACCTCGCTAAGCCGGTAATAAGACCCACAAAGAGAGGAGGTTGGGCGTAAAGCTAGCAATCCCACAGCGTAAAGATAAACACCCGTGGTACCGAAATCTCAAAGCTCTAACTGGTAGTCCTATTTTCCACTGGGAAAGTAAAGGAATAAAAAAATACATATGCATGGAATGCATGGTTTCCTTGTAAAATTAATAGAATACCAGTCACCATATTCATTTAGGGTTTAATTAAAAGCTACTTTTGGTTATGTATAAAAGTAAAACTCTGTTTTACCCACTACACAAACGTTTTATAAGATGAAGAAAATATCAATTCACTTGTACTTCTGAAAGGCGTATCAGTTTTTAAGAAAATATATATATCGCTATTATTTTACCTGATTATGAACTTCTGCACTTTGACGAATAAACCACTGAAACAGTCCCACAAAGTTTATTCCATATGTAATCATAAGACCAATCACAGAAGGAGGAAAATCTAAAGTTAAAAAAATTCACAGTTTTAAGCTCGATTTGCAATTCAAGTGTTTCTTTGAATTTGTTAATGAACAATTTCACTGTATTAGTAAAACTTCAAAAATCAGACAGAAATTTATAATTCTTAATAGAAGAAATGTGAATTTCACTGTTTACCAAATTCTAATGCATTATTTTGAATTATTTGTGTTCTCTGAGCTGGTTGATTTAGTTGAGAAGCTTTCGTCGTCTTTCTAGACAACATCTTCAGTGCAGGTTTTAGACCTTTTGAAATAGATATAGCACACAAGACAACCAGCACAACCACTTCATCCGATATGATGCAAACCAAACGATCCAACAGAAAAAGAAGATAAAATTAATACCATTTACAAAATAAATTGCATGAACTGCAATAGGCATTACATCGGTCAAAGTGGGCGTCCTCTCCCTTCGAATCAGAAACCAAGAACACAAATTAACTGTAAAATGACATGATATACATTGTTTCGCATCAATGCATGCAGATAATTATGGACACAAATTTGGTTTGGGATAATGCAGAAATCTTAAACAGAGGAAACACCAAAAATGCATTCAGGGAATTTCTAGAAGCCTGGTACTCAAGTGAATGAGCCAGCGATTAACAAACACATTACTATAGACCAAATTTACCAACTAATAAAAAGTGAATCACTTGACTAGAGAGTTCAAATTCCAAGGTTGCCTGGAGATATAATTACATCATTCATGGGGAATTCAAATGAGCCCATTTTATACTAAAACCTGCGCTGAAGATGTAGTCTAGAAGGGGGGATGACGAAGGTTTCGCAGTTAAATCAACCAGCTCAAAGAACACAACTAATTCAAAACCACCCACCTGAGCTACAAATCTTCTCCATTATTTCTAATGCATGAATTTTATGCTAGAATGGAGTTCACGAAATCTAAGAGTAAAATGTATCTATAGCTTTTCAGCATGAAGTAAGTACTTAACTGACTAATTCTCACTTTGAAATCAAATTGCTATCGATAAATATCATGACAGCATCAATCTTATAAGAGAAAAATTTCAAAACAAATGCACGACAACTATGATTAATGAATGAATTTGGTGCATATATCAAATGCCTATTATCTTAATAACTTGCCATTTTGAAAATAAATGTCCAAGTTTACCCATTTCAGTTAACCATAGATGTCAAACCTTTAAATTGATATTCATCATAATACTATCATTATTCCCTTGGTTTCTGAGTAATACATTGGGCTTTAGAAGCACATCAAGATTTCGCTCTGTTCTCTGTAGTCGTTTTTTAGCTGCCTTCAAAATTATGCATCAACTCTCATTTCCTCCTCACACGATTTCCTCTATGTCATCCTCATACTCCCAATTGTCGGTTCCAATTTTCCACTCACTTGAGGTCCTGATATATGATGCCACTTGACGGTCTCCATAAAGTGTGTACAGTCTATCTTCATTTCCTTCTGCATATTTACTGAGCAGTAAGTTCTTGGCTGGTTCGTTTCCGGAATCCTTTGTTGTTTATCCTTTCCGAACAGCCACTTGACCGTAACTGTTGAATCAGTGAAGGTATTTGTTAATGAGAATCTGCAGCAGGTTGTTGGATATGAATTTGGTGATGCACGTTCCAATTCTCATGACAGTATAGAAGAATTGACCTGAAATTTGTGTTGCACACCTAAGTGTTGTTCTTTGTGCCGAATTCAGTAGATCTCCATACTGATTTCAGAGTAATAAACGCTTGCATGTTTTGTCTTTCCAATCCTGGCATAACCACCTTCATCTGTGACCTCGCCTGTAGTTGAAATGATGTGCTCAGATAAATGTAAGAAATGACTTCCTTTCGATTTCCGCCCGTTGATGGTGACTGGTGCTTGTTGTTGTTGTTGGTTAGGTATAAGTAACTGATTTCGTAAGAACGTAAATGTATATTAGATAAAGAAACTGTCTAGAAGTGGTTCAGTAATGTTTACTGGATAACATGTTCTAGCTGTTTTCATTCACAGTTTAAAATCCATAAGTCCCCATTTTCTGAAGGATTATTTATCTTTTTTGTATCATAACTGACTAATTTATCAAACCTCACATAGAAATTTCTGTCAACCTCAAGGAGTATAGAATTCTGTTATATTCATGATAATTATCAGATCATAATTTAAGTGAATATTATGTACTAAATTACCTTGAGTTATATACTATTTTCAAGTATTGGTTTTTGTAGGGATTCAGTTTTGATTAGTTGGAGGATTTCGTCATGATGCTCACTAGCGACTGGCCCTATTCAGGCAGTGACCTGGGTTTCTAGTGGGAAGCCGTGACCAGTAGGGTGCAGCAGATTGAAGGTGAGGCAGTAACTCATCGAAAAAGACATTGGCTAGTGGTCGCGCTATGTCATGAATTGGAGGAAGTTGGAATTCATGAAGTGGTCACTGGGTCAGGTCCCAATGGCTTAATGGTCTACAAGCTCGCTAGCCTTGTAACCAGGAGGTCCTATGTTCGAAACCCCGTGGGTGCGTGCTGCTGAAGAGTTCCAAACTAGGCTGATGAAACAGATGTCCAGTACTTGCTGCAGGTTTTCCAATGGTTCTCTAACTTATATACTATTCTTATCCAATTTTATGTTTTGCACTTTATTAAACTTGTGCAGAAATTCCTCCTTTGGGAAAATTGAAATAAAAGTGCTTTACCGAAATAAGCAAGTTATCCTGAACCGTGCATAAATTCTTGCAATGAGATTAATAACTTCAGTTTCATATAGACAATCTTACCTGTATAAATACTGAGTAACAAGGAGGTGATAATTATTGTTACAGTGAAGAATACACAGAGTAAATCAAGACGTAATGCAAGCCAACGGGTAGCTGCTATCATAAGGTAAAACACACTAGTATGATAATCCATCACCTCTTGAAACTTTACTAGATGATTATTTTGACTTGAAGTTGCACGGATGCATGGCAGACCTTGTAGAGTAACATTTACCCATGATATTATCGGACCTTTAGCTGTAAAAAAATAAAAATACACACTAAAAATTAAGTATGATCTTTGTTTTTAAAACTCAAAGCTAATATTGCTAAATAAGTGAATATATGCAAATGAAGAACTTGTATATACGTGAATATATTTCAAGGAAATTAGTAAACAAAGCACACTTTTAAATTTCTCATTTTATAGTGGAGAAAGTTGAATATCCATTTCACACTGTATGAGACTTTTCAGCTGTATGCACCCGTAATCCTTTGCAAGATAGGGCCAAAGACCTTTACCACTAATGACTGCACATATTTGTTTTATTTAATAGTAATAGTAAAGCTTTATTTCAGACAATATGTGAACATATACCACAGAAATTTTGAGCGTATTTAATTCCAAAATATTTCCTCTTCATACAGAATATACATCTGAAGCCATAATCTGAAGTTTATCATTTGTCATGCGTGTGCGTCGGTGGCACAGTGGTTAGGACTCTCACCTACCATGCACATGGTCCGAGGTTCGATCCCCTGCCGACGCACACCCGATATCTATGGTCGGTCTGCGAAATTTGGGCTACTGAAATCCATGCTGAAAATTCCATACTTGTACTGTAAATACGGTGTGGCATCAAGCTGTAATCAAACAAAAAGTCATAGTATTGCTACATATGAGTAGAGAACCAGTTCTGTACATTCTTTCTTCAATTCCTTCAAGAATTGTATTGGGTATAGTGCGAAACTAACTACATATGCGTGAGAGTTCAAATAATGGTCATTTGGTATAACTGCACCATTAAAACAATAAGAAATGCTGAAGAGTTTAAACATTTTGATGGATGGAAATTCTGGCAGGCCAGTGACTTAAGCAGGCCGCCGACTAATTTCCAAAAGTGACTCAGTAAACTTCTAACTGAATAATTTCTACATGCATCAGTTGCTAAATGCTACATAAAAGCAGACGTCAGTGGCACACATGTAGAATGCTCACCAACAACGCATGTGGTTCGGAGTTCGATCCCTGGTCGACATACTCCTAAACTTGGTTAAGCCCCCAGTAAGACCTGCAAAGAAGCAAGTTTCGGCATGAAGCTAGCAAACCCACCCCGTAAAAATAAAGAAATGCCACCGCTACCTGAAGCCCTGTGATCCACTAGGAAGGTAAAGGAATTAAAAAAACATAAAAGTAGGTACTCCAGCATCAAACTACTAATAACAGCATAGTGTTTTGGAAACACTTTTAAATCGAGAGTGTAACTTGATTTACAACCATGAGATTTCAGCCCTACCTTGTTTACAGTTTTAATATTCAATACAACTTTTCTGACACTGTTATGCAGCATTACAATTACAGCCATAGGGCATTTGTGAAATTTAGAATAATTCAATAATTACTATTCATAGGATTAAACTGATCTTTAATACTTTAGGAGTTGAAAGGTATTATATTAATTTATTTAATTTTAACTTGTGAATTGTTCATTTAAGTTGTTTTAGATCTGCTTTTCGAATTTAAAAAGGAGCAAAATTTTTGTTATTAGACGGGAAAATCATGAAGACTTATTACTCCCTTGGGTTCCGAGTGGAACACAGGGCTTCAACAACACATCTCCACTTTGTTCTATTTTTTGCCGTCCTCTTCAGCTGGGTTCACGATTGCCCATAATCTCTCATCTCCTCATCTCACGACCTCCTCCATGTCACCCTTGCATCGACGACCCACTCATCGCTTCCCATTTGCATTCCGCTCAAGCTATGGCCTGGTGCGTGATATCATTCGACGGCCTCCTCAACATAATTCATATTTTTACAATACGGTTATAGGTAAAATGTAAACTGACTTGCAAGTACTCAATGATTAAACTTATCATATAATGAGGTGATGCTATGAAGTGACAGCCACTGTCATAGTTAACCGGTAAGAATGACTAATTAAATGTGCATGTTTCATGTGTCGCTTTTTGTTTTAGTAGAATGCTGCAGGTATTTATATACAGGTAGAGCAACATAGGTCCAGACTACCAGGCTATGATAGAATTTACATATTTGTTCAGACACAATATGCAGTCTTTTGAACACCTTGGGTTTTGGACATATGATCTGAATGTAAGACAGTGCTGCAAGACTACTTCATGTTGACTTCTGGTATGGGGATTGGAAGTAAAATGGTTGAATGTATTGAACACCCGTTCTAAAGGAGTGATTGACGATGAAAACTTCAGTGAGGACATAGACGACCAGTTTCGCATTTTTAAATTTGCCGGTGTGACATCATCTATGAAACCATGCATGTACTGTTCAGATGTGAAAACACTGAGGGTTTCCGACCACAGACGCCTCAATTCAGGCTTTAGTGTCAGGTGTTATATCATAAGTAACAATCGGATTAGGTGAAAGGTGATAGGTGAGGAAGGAAATTCAGTGTATGGGGTGATGAAGCTCTCTATGCCTATTGAAATGACTGAGACATGTGCTACACACTCCAGGCTACAACCTTCTCTGATGAGCAGTCTGACTTATAGTGTTCCTTAAAAAATGAAAATAACAATCATTTACGTACAAATCATTGACTTTTCCTGTCTGTTGCAAGAGTTTAATTAAAGTCAGTCTGCTCCTGTGGAGCCAGTTACATAGGCCGTACAATTAGGCGTGTTTCTCGTCGAATTTCCGAACATCACTTCGCCTGGTTAAGCAAAGGACAAACAAAATCTATTCGCAGCGCTATTCTGTCTCGTCTTAAGGAAACAGAACACAAGATTGACGTTAATCATGCTTTCAGGGTCATTTACCCATACCTGCTTAAGAGTTCGACTCTAAATATTGCTGAGGCTGTGGATCATATTAAAAGCCTAATTTGTGCATCCAAAAGAAGTTAGTTCAGTCATTATCATTACCTTGGCCATCCAGGTTTGAATAATCCAGAATTTTATGAAATTTCCCTTATTTTAGTTGATATTCTATTCACTGTTATATCTTTATTATTATTATAATTTAAGCATCTTTAATGAACTGCAATAGCATCGACCATACTTTACAAATCGATATTATTTAAAAAAACGCTAATATTGTAATTAACTACTAATTTAAAATATTCTGTGTATATAAACATATATATAATTGTAGAGCCTGGAAGAGGAATTTATCGAAAAGAATATTCTTTTCTCTATTATTTTGTGTTTTATAAATCAATTCGAGTTTATCTTTAGTACTGTATTCCATTCAATTTAAATTTTCCCATCGATTGATTGGACAGAAGTGCTCGGTCTCAGGTTGACATGTTGGCTGCTTGTGCAGATGCTTTGAAGATGTCTGGTCATGTAACTTGAAGTCAACTGGTGGATGTTGACTAGCAGTGGAACACCATTACTCATTGGGGAATGCATGTACATCCAGATGACGAGTCCCAAATAGGGCGAAATGCGCATCCTGGATTCCACCGCTATAAGGTTTATCATTATTAAATGAGACGAATTTGCCTTTTAAAACAAACATTATTCATCAATTTCATTTCACTTATTAAAAAAGCAAAATAAACTTTAAAAATTGCAGAGATAATCATGAAAAGAAAAGAAAATTACCAGCAGATTCGAGTCGCTTTAAATCTCTGGAAATTAGTAAATACCTCTTCTGAGTTAAATAAAAGAGAATAATAGCCATAATTGTAGGTATAAGAAACCAATAACTCATGTAGTTAATTACTACTCCCATTATGAAAACTAAGAAAAAACACTGAAACAATAAAGAAAACAGATATATTTCATTTACAATATAGACTAGAATTGGTACTAAATAATAGGAAAGTGATTTAAAGTAAATATGACGGAGTTAAACCTGAAGCACCAGTACCAGTACCAATGGAGGAATGACCTTGAACGCATCAATCACATAATAAAAGTGATTTTCGCGTATGTAATAAACGTATTCGTGAAAATAGTGAATTTACAGGAACGAAACTGTTACACAGGATGCCTTTCTCTGACGTGTGACAAAAATACCTCTCTTAATTTTGGATTGGAATATCAACAGAGTAATTTAACCGCATTATATGCATGAATTGTCTGGGTCTTCTAACCCTAACAATAACCCTAGTCTTTCCTTAACCTAACCGTAACATGAAAATATCTCTAAACTAATCATAATCTAACTAGAATCAACCCTTATGTCGCCCTCATTAGGTTGACCTAACCCTAACCTGTCCTTAGCCTAAGCCTTAAAGTAATATTTCCTACTTATCTAACCCTAAACTTGCCAGATATCCCATTTAGTAACACAACACACTTCATTAAGCATATTTTATTCATGATTACAATATTATTTACCAGGTTTCACCAACTTGCTGACTGAGCGCTTCAAGGTCATTGGTGCGGTCGCACTTCACTGGTACTTATTGGTGCTTAAAGTTTAAATTCGCCGTAAATATTCCAGAAGAATTGCTAATTCCTGGTGTGCGTATCTCTCAAAAAGATGGTTGCTGCGTACCATGTCACATAAAGATTTACATAAATAACTTAAAACTGGATTAAAGAAACAGTATTTTAAACTGAAAATGAATAAGTTGAGATTTACTTTACCACTCGTTCTTGTAGATAACTAGTGAGAGCTGTTCTCAAATTAACTGGTATATTCATAGCCAAGTAATTAGTTAACTAGCGACTGTAATTATAGATACTTGTGTAGAAACAACTAACACGCAGACGTCATGCACTTCATCATCACTTAATATATCAACATTTAATGAATGCAAATGATTCTTTTAATGCACATTTAATACATCCTTTATTTAACAAGCGTTTAACAACTTTTTGTAGATGAATTAATTTCACTCGTATTCCACATTAGATTTTATCACTAACTGAACAGCTTTTTGATCCTAGGAATGAGATTTCATATTAATATACACCCATAACCCATTTAGGAATCGAGGCCACAATCTAGATGTTACTAGGTTAACACGTTACATTTCAACCAGTCAACCCATAAAATTTAACGTTTGTCTGTTCTAGGATTGTAGTGTTACCTACCAATGTCATTGACGAGTATCTATCATCATCCATTGAAACTGATGGATCTCAATGGTCATAGCATCTCGTAAGAACTTCAGTAACCTCATTCAACAGTTAGTGGCTAAGAACACTGAAAACTTTGTTGATTTCAAGGTAGATTTCGTCGAAATAGGAAAGAACTTCGTTACGGAACCATTGAAAACCTGGGAGTACTGGACAACTGTTTCGTCAGCCTAGTTCCGGATCCTTCACAGTACACACACCGCCATTGTTCCAGCCCACGACCTTCTGGTCACAAGGAAAGTTCGTAAACCATTAATCCCCTGATTATTATATAATTATTATTATTTCCTTTAATTCCTAGAGGAACATAGGGCTTCAACCGTGCGTCTCCATTGCGTTCAGTTTTCTGCTAGAGTTTTCACCTGGCTTCAAGTCTACCCACACTTTTTCATCTCCTCTTCACATGACATCCTCCAAGTCACCCTCACACTGACGACCAACTCGCCGCTTCCCTTTCGGGTTCCACTCGAGCAATGGCTTGTCTAGTGATGTCACTTGATGGTTTCCTAAGAGTATGATCAATCAATCCATCTCCATTTCTTCCTGCCTATTTGTTGTACAATCGGTTCCTGGTTGGTTCGCTCCCAGTGATCTCTGTTGCTGATCTTTTCTGACCGGCCATCTGATCTTGAGTATTGAGCAAAGACATCTGTTAATGAAGGCCTGTAGTTTGTTTGAGATGCTCTTTATGACGCACCATTAAGCCCCTGAGACCCGATCCAATAGCGCATGAATTCCAACTTTTGTAAATTCATAAACAGTGGGGTTCACCATGTCAAGTAAGAGAATATTTACTCGCCTATGACATATGCTTGTGGTCCGGCTAAACTCACGAATTGGTAGAATTTGGAATTCATGGGCTATTGGATCGAGTCCCAGTGGCTGGTATATACAGACCTAATTTCCTACATGTCATTTTTACATGTCTGTTCGTACTTCTCTCACCCCACTTATTGATTTATGACCTGACTTTCTCTCACACTACTAATGACCTTGAATCCTATTGGTTGTTCACTGTCTTAATTTATCAATGACATTAGTGCTTCTCAATGTCATTTTAAACATATATATATACGCAAGCTTTGTCAACCTTTTTTGACTGTTGTTTTGGGACAGTAAAAGCTCTCTTACCAACGTTCAGTCTTCTCTTCTGTCTTTTTGCAACCCGGCGGTGTTACAATTATTATTGTTGTTGTTTAAGTGCGATTAGGACAGATTAGCCAGCGCATTAAAGTTAGTATTCTCTCATAGTCTACTAGGTCATAGTTTCAGGCATTACAGTGGCTTAACGGTCGACAATCTCGCCTTTTAGTCGGCAGGTCCTGGGTTCGAACCGCGGAGGGCAGTTCAATACCTTTAACTGAATACTTTGAAGTTTTACATTTCTCTTAAATTGATTCACACATTACTACTACTGGTACTGAACTTAGATACAAATAGATGTAAATGAATGGCAGTTGTTATATTTCAACATCTGGATGTCAATATTCTTCATGCATTTTGACTGCTTAAAGTATTATTTTACTGACTGATGCCTGGATTTTATATTTTAACACAATGATAAGAATTCGTATATACGTAAAACAACTCGTGACACAAATGTCTTTCATCTTCTAAACTCAACCCTTTTTATTTCTATTGTATATCTGATGAGTTCTATTAATACTAGTTAAACTGCCTTAAAAAAATATTTTGTACTAACATATTTCTAGAGAAGGATGACAAATAAAGATTTCCTAATAAGGAAATTTATAAGAATTTTATTTCATACTACTTATAAGTAGTTAATTCATTAAAAAAGAAATTTTCTCACCTGGATGGCATCACACATAGCCATGGGCAGCATATCATCTACTGTAGTTAAATCCTTGGAAAATCGATTCACTATTGCTCCTTTAAAGCAAATAAAGAGGATAAGGGATCAAATAAAAATCAATAATTTTGGTACGGATTGTACATGTGATTACATATTACGTATAGACTACGGCTTTCAGTACAAGCAACATACCTTTGCTCTTTAAAAAAGATATGCCCTTTACTTTAAAAAAAGCTCTATTTGAAGTGCTAACTGAATACATATTTTCATCTGCATAAAGAAATAACTGTACGAAAGGAAGAGAATCTATATTCTTTACTAGCTAGTTCCTTGTTATTACTACTACTATTCCCTTAGGTAACGAGTGAAACACTGAGCTTCAAAAGCACATCTCCATTTCATCCTGTTCTCTGGAGTCATCCTTTGTTGGCTCCACGACTGCCCATAACCTCCCATTTCCTTCTCACACCGTATACCCCACGTTCCCCTCGGACCCACACCCAACTCATCTTTCCCCGCTCGGGTCCCACTCCAAAACCTTGTACACGATATCACACTACCATCTCTTCAGTGTGTGTCTTATGAATCTCCATTTTTTCAGCATATTTGTTTGGCTGGTAAGAGTTTCTTGGTTAGTTCACTGCCAGACGTCCCTGTTCCTAATCTTTTTTGGCTGCGTGATCTTCAGCATAGACCGAAGACAGCTGTTGATAAAAGTATACCGCAGCATGTTGAAAGTGTTTTTGATGACACGCCAAGTCTACGAACCATATAAAAGAACTGTCTTAAAGTTTAATGTTGATATTATAATGAACAATAAATTGTGTTCAAAACGTCATCCAGTAAATAACACTGTTCTATCGTTTGATATATCTGATATACAAATTGATATGAAGTTATTGTTGAAAGTTCGAATTTCGTTCATTATGCTCAGTACAGTTGATTTCCACACTTATTTCAGGGTAACGAACACCTAACTGTCTTGCATTTTTGGTTGTGGCTGACTTTGACATGTTTATCCATACCACCGTTAACTGAAACAGTGCTGTCTAGATAACTGAAAGGAGTGACCCCCTTGATATAATGATAGGTGATTGTTTTTTTTTTTTTGATTGCACACTAGTCAGTAACTAGTGTAATGTATCTAGTCCTATCTTCGGTGCAGACTGAAATCTATCAGTCATGGTTGCAATGTGGCCACCATGCTAGGTGGCTCGCCATTACGGTGCACTGTGAGTTGTTGGTATTAGGTGGTTGTAGGTGATTGTTGTTATTATTTTTGGACAGGTATCTTCACCACCTCTGTCTGCGCTGCTTCTTCTGTCAACCTCTTGGTTTCCGCCTGTAGACCTTCGAGTTTGTGTGGTACCGGACATAAATCGTCCTCAATGTTCAGATTTTCTAGAGTCATCTTGTTGCTCCAGCGTACCCCTGTCTTTTTGCTCCCTGTAGCCTGCCGCTTGACACAGCTTACCACAATCAGGAATGTCATCGGTGATCCTCTAATGATTATTTCAGCGTTTACCTGGTCCCAATTTTATTAACCGTAATCTATTTATCGGTCGTGAAAGTTAGCGATACAGTACTGGTTTGAACTGTACAGTACTGTACACTATCACAAGGCATGAAGCGAAAACACGGTTTTTTGACAAGGAACTCTTGTAAATAGCCGATTTGTATTTTCTTCAATTAGTAAAACATTTTCAGATTGTTCTGGTATAAACTGAATATACTGCCATATAAAGTACTTTGCACTTCTTTTATGTTAGAGCCACCAGTATGATACTTGACTGCGTTATGTACGACCACTAGGTTTAGAGTTATAAATTCGTTTTGTATTGCCTCATAACTCTTGGATAAATGACTTCCCCATTGTTTGTAGTTCGATAGATTCTACATTTATTAACCAAATTACAAAAGCATAAGGTGTTACAGAAAAATTCTACTTTGAGGGGAAATATAATTGATCACTTTTAGTACTGCTAATAGATCAATATAAACATCTTTATGTTTTGTGTATCTGGTTTTTATACTTACATAATCAAATATATAACATTCGAGTTTTTTAAGTGTTGGTTTGCAGAGGTTTGATTGGTTTCAGGATTTCATCATGGGCTAACATCGGTCAGAAAACCATTGGAAAACCTGGAATTACTGGACAGCTGTTTCGTCAGCCTAGTTTGAGACTCTTTACAGTACGCATCCAACCAGGACCTTCTGGTTACAAAGCGAGGTCGGAGAATATTCGACCACTGGGACTTAATCCAACAGCCCTTGAGTTCCACCTTCTGTCAACTCATGATATGGAGCGACTGCTAGCGAATATCATCGGCAAGTATTTGTCCTCACTACCGCCCTGATTAACCTCACTGGTTGCGACTTCCCATAAGATCCCAGGAAACTACCTACTTGAATAGGTCCTCTAATCTGTTTCAGTTCATGATGAAATTCGAATTTTTATTTACCTTAAAAATGACCAGCTTTGACAAGCATTTACGGAGTTTAAAATTCCTTTTTTTTAACTAACCACTATTGTATGATAGGAAAAACATTTACACACCTTCAGGGTTTAAGAAAATCAGTGATATAGGTCAAAAAAATCATTTAAAACGACATACAATTAGTCTATCTAAATGTTACTTGAATAAAGTTCACGAAGAATACAATATAAATGGAGACGACCAGTTGCTTATCATCCGTCTGCATTAGAGTGAAACTTAGATGTAGACTGACAATACTCTAAGGCTCATTCTGCCTTTGAATAAAGCCATCAAACATTTTAGTATCCATTAGTCAACAAAACTGATAAGCATGAAGAGTGGACACGTGAGCATAAAAGCCCAAATGAGTCGTCTATAGCTATCTGATTACATAGTCAGTCTACTGAATGACTGCCCTAATTTTGTTGAAATTAAAATTAGGCTTAGGTTTTTGAGGCATAAACAGAACCTTATTTGACTGTACACTATAGTTAAACATTACTAATATTGTTTTCCAATTAAAGTTTCTTACAACTAATAAAATAACAAATGGATGGGAAAGTTCTAGAATAATATCCGGTTAAGGCTCAAATTAATAAAATTACAATTAGGAATTAAAATGACATAATAAACAGGGAGGAAGGAGGGATAAAACTCAAACAAAGTAGAATCATAATTACTGAGAAGATTGACATTGTGCAATTGGGGGTTAAACATGTGGAAATAACAAAATAGACACGAAGTTTGGATATGAAAATATGGTAGTGTAAACAGGGATTAAGAAAAACTTAAAAATAACATGAGTAAGCAGGAAGTTTAGATAAGAAAGGTGATGGAATGGTCATTACTAAAAGGATTACCTGTTTATGATGGCCATGGCAGGGACAGGGATTGAACGTATTTCTTTTGGATACAAAGCGTGGGTTTGAACTTTTGGATAGCTATTGCCTCGGCTATGCTAGCTACTCTGCCATGGCCATCATAAACAGGTAATCCTTTTAGTAATGACCATTCCATCACCTTTCTTATCTAAACTTCCTGCTTACTCATGTTATTTTTAAGTTTTTCTTAATCCCTGTTTACACTACCATATTTTCATATCCAAACTTCGTGTCTATTTTGTTATTTCCACATGTTTAACCCCCAATTGCACAATGTCAATCTTCTCAGTAATTATGATTCTACTTTGTTTGAGTTTTATCCCTCCTTCCTCCCTGTTTATTATGTCATTTTAATTCCTAATTGTAATTTTATTAATTTGAGCCTTAACCGGAAATTATTCTGGAACTTTCCCATCCATCTGATATAAATAAACAAATGTACAGCCTAGATGATGACTTCCTCGAAAAGAAAATTTTCTTCACTGCAACTGTCTTCTTAATAACTGCTATAACCCAATGTGCATGTTCCGTAATAAAATAACTTTAAAGACTCATTTACTCTATTACAGCAGATCTCTTGCAGTTAGCCATTTCTGCAATTCATATCTACAAATTTAATAGATGCAAATTTTATAACGATGATGTAACACTCACCAGATGGATTCATTTCAAAAAACTTAATTGGCGTGTGTAGACAGGAGTGCAACATTTTGTCATGTAAACGTCTGGCTGCAGTAACCATAAACTTGACAAAAATATTTTTAGAAAAAAAAAATAAGAACAACACAGATTGCACCGTTTAGGGTATATTCAAATAAACAAAATAAATGAATAAAACAGTTCTACACCAATCACATTGAAAGATTGAAATTTACAGAATTCTATGCTGATATAAAATGTTCATACGTGTGTGAAAGGTAAATTTAATTCCTCTTAAAGTTTCCTTCCACATGTGCTTCGTCACCTTGCAATTATTACTGAGTAAAACTAAATATGTAATATTTAGAGAAAAATTGAGCATAGAATATCCTTTTCGATAATTTACTCTTCTCGCTGTACAATTATATATATATGCCCATATACAAAGAATATTCTAGAATAGTCGTCACTAACAATATTGGTGTCTATAAATACTGTCGATTTGTTAAGTAAGATCAATGGAATTACAGTTCACGAAAGATGCATAAATTATAATAAGCATAAAATGTAGTAGCAAATAGAAAATGAAGTAAAATTAAGGAAATTCCCACAACAAATTGAGCATCATTATTTTTTTATTTTTGATTATAGCTTGATCTCACACTGTATTTTTGGTACAGGTATGGAATTTTCAGCATGCGATATTGGTAGCCCAAATTTAGCAGGCCGACCATAGATATCAGGTGTGCGTTGACAGGGGATCGGACCCCGGACCATGTGCATGGTCGGCGAGAGTCCTAACCACTGTGCCACCGACGCACCTTGATGGCTAAGGTAAGGACAGTGTCTGAACCAACTTCTTTTGGATGTGAATCTAAACAGCCTCAGCACTATGTAATAGATGAACAGATGTTTACGATCTCTTTCTCGCGTTAGGTGGTATAATAAGGTAAGTAATGTTGACGTTAGGCGCAGAGTGTTGGGCAAAGAGGGAAAATCAATCAACGAGGCTATAAAGTTACATAGATTGAGATGGCTAGGTCACGTGCTGCGCATGCCTAACCATCGCCTCCCCCGACGGGCATTACTAGCTGATATAGGTGCAGGTTGGAAAAGAGTAAGTGGTGGCCAAACAAAAACATGGCATCAATCCATGAAATTCCTGACAGTTAAACTGAGTCAGGTAGGGAGATGCAGACTTCCGGGTCGGGGCCCTCGGGACTCTAAGAATCAATGGCTGGAGACACTAGGTGACATGGCTCAAAATCGTTGTCAATAGCGCAGATGTATTCAGTCTCTGTAATCTTTCATATTCCTTTCTACCATTACTCATTCTGTTTCACTCTTATACTTGTCAAAACTCTATTGACTCTCTTCACTCATTTTCTTGTCTACCTTTGTGTGCTATTTGGAACGTGGCAACTCGAACTGATGCACTTCGGTGCCAAGTTCTATGTTGAATCCAGCCAGCCAGCAATAGATGAACTGTTGAGGTAAAGTTAAGATTAGTTGGTATACTCTATTGACCGAGCAAAGGCAGTCTGCTCTGATGAATGTCTCAATGAAGAGCCTAATATTATTAAACAGTTGCTGAGTGAGAATGGTTACCCAGAAAGATTCATCGATAATAATATGAATCAAAAGTCGAGGCAGAACCAAAGTACCAACAGTTCCGGAGAAGGCCTTACTCTTACAACTTCAGTTCTCCAGGGACAAGATCAATGAGATATTAACACGATGCCTTAGGAATACGGTGGTAAAAAGAGCATCCAGTGCATCTGAATTATGCTGTCCCTCCTAAACCACCCCTATTTTGCACTCGGGATTTAAAGATAAACCAGCTAATTTCGCCTCTTCTATGTGTATTTACCAACTTAACTGCTCCTGTGGAGCCAGTTACATAGACTGTACAATTAGGCATGTTTATCGTCGGATTTCGGAACACCATCCTGAGTGGTTAAGTAAGAGACAAACAAAGTCCATTCATAGTTCAATACTATCTCATCCCGTAGATACAGAACATAAAATTGATGTCAACAAGACCTTCAGAGTCATCTACCGTAAACCAACTAATCTTAAATTTACCTCAACAGTTCATCTATTACATATTGCTGAGGCTGTTGGGATTCACATTAAGAAACCTAACATATGTATCCAAAAGAAGTTGGTTCAGACACTGTCCTTACCTTAGCAATCAAGATTTCAATGATCCTTAATTTGTTATAGCGACTTCGTTAATTTTATTTGATATTCTATTTGCGATTACATTTTTATACTTATTATTATTTCATGGACTGTAATCTCATTGATCTTAACAAATCGATAGTATTTATAGACACCAATATTGTTAGTGACAACTATTCTAGAATATTCTCTGTATATAAACATATATATAGTTGTAGAGCGAGAAGAGGAAATTATCGAAAAGGATATTCTATGCTCATTTTTTTTCTAAATGTCTGAATGAATATTCTCACTATATTGAAACATGCAACACATTAATATAGTCACCCATAGGTAGAATATATATATATGTATAGTATCTCCAACTAATAAGAGAAACTTCCTCTACACACCTTGAAACCATAATGAGGGCGAGAGAAAAAAGGAAGCCAAATTTTGAAGCATGAATATTAATAAATTTTAGTTTATTCACTATCCAACGTAACAAAGTAACACATAAAATAAATATGTAACAGCTAAAAAGTATCAAAGTAAGCTTTGGCGGCATGCCGAAAAATGCAGTTAACAAATATCACGAAGATTAATGCTGATCCATGTGACAGGTAAACATTATTCATTTATTTGTGACTTCCTAGCCAAATTACTTTTAAATATAACATTCCAAGATAATCTGAATTCACCTGACACAGAAGGTTGATACATAAAATGTGAAGCCTGTCTACCGACAAAAGACTTTTACTCACAATACTTTCTATTTGAAACAAGTTCTAAAGTAGGGAATTTTAGAAGGACTATTATTAGCAAAACCTTTTGTCGGGAAAACAGCAATGTGAAATTGAAATATGGAGAATAGGTGCAAATTATTGTTGTCATTTTATAAATGTTCATAGTTGCCTTCAGTTTCTTAAATTTTTGCAGTACGAAAGAATGTTAGCTGCCATGTTAGCTCATATATGTACCTATCAATTATTTAACAGGTGCGTTCCTTATCAAATTCCCTTCACATCTGTCTAAATATCTGAGATGAAACGTTTACTTTACACGGTTATATCAAGTATTTTCATCAACAAAAAGTTTAAGTTTATTGCTTAGCAAGTGTCCTCAAATAACGAGTATGTGCTTCACTTTGTTTCAAAATGTTACAGCAGGACTTTAATACCCACGGAGTTATTAACCTCATTACGAGTTACATAGGATAAAAATATTGGCTTCTTCTCTTGCTAAGAATGACATTCACAATCAAAAGAGATGTATGACTTCATTGTTTACGGACCTATTCTGCTCTGACTATCCTTATCCTTCTCCTACATAATTCTGCTCTGGTTGTCTGTAGAGAAAGACAGTGATTCTTCAGGCATAACACGTACCACATCGACCTCAATCGATGAAGTTACATAACTGTGTGAGTTAACTTGTCTTCTTGACCTAATGCTAAATGCTTAACCTTTTAATTACGTTACAGGATTTCATCATGAGCTGACATCAGTTAGAGAACCATTGGAAAACCTGTGAGTACTGGACAGCTGTTTCGTCCTAGTTTGGGACTCTTCACAGTACGCACCCACCGTGATTCGAACCCAGGACCTACTGGTTACAAGGCGAGCTCGTATTCCATTAAGCCACTGGGACCCGATCCAATGGTCCATGAATTCTAACTTCTGCCAATTCACGACATAGCGCGACCCCTAGCCAATGTCTTCGGCGAGTATTTGTCCTCACGCCCGACCTGCTGCACCCTTTTAATTACGTATTACAATGTTCCATCCAGTCAGCCAGTGAGCGAAACGTCGCCCAACGTAACTTTCTCATCTATGCTAAGAATTCATAAGCAACCAGTAGTGATACAAATTCTTAAATAAGTAAAGTGATCAGCAAATTCAATCATTTCGCCACCCATCATTATACTAAGAGTCAGTGCAAACCAGTCCCTCTGCATCATCTAATATCTCGCGAGGACAAACCATGTACCAAACATATCCAGTTCTCTACTAAAAGCCTTCGAAAAATCTACAGTCTGCCAGCGTTTTCGCCAGCAATATTGGTTTTCGGTGATAAGTCAGTTATCGAGATATCGAAGTCGTATACAGTTGCATCCGTCAGTACGTCTACTATGAAATAAAGTCACAGTGACTACACTGGTTGGTTATCACTTAAGATAATCACTCTCCATAAACTCTTTCACATGTGTGAACTACTGTGAAGAGTTCTGGTTAACAAGATATACGTTCTCGGAACTCTGTTCATGGTCACAACACCTCCTTGTCAACAAACATAAAGATTTAGGCAGAAACTTTCCTGTGACACGAAAGGTACGTGGAACAAATACAGGAAAACCGACTAGTTTTCAAAGAACTGGAAATACAAATACTTATACTTAACAAAAAGTCATATGAAAAGGCTAAAAGACGTTTTCTATCCCTTAACGTCATCGATTAGTGAGCTTCTGTAGCATTTGACCTCATTATTAAAATAAAAGTCATTCAGAAGATGCTTTGTAACGTTTTCTATTAGCGAGCAGATTACAAAGATGGCGAAGTTTAACAATAGCGTCCCAAGAAATGCGAACGCTCCGATGACCTTGAACGAGTGCCAGTCGTTGGCTAAGGATACCTGTCATTACTACAGCACAAATATGAATGTTTTCATCAACTAAAGAGCAAATTTCACCCAGATCACGTTTTCAACTACTGTTTGGATAATGTGTTATAGCTCTCTGGGGCTAGAATTAGGATCAGGGTTATAGTTACGGTTAGGACCAAGGTTACGGTTAGTGTTAAGTTTAGGGTTAGGGTTGGGATTAGAGGTAGATTTAGATTTGGTATTATTTATTTTAATTTGTTTTATCAGCCACATTTTGCTAATGAGTAGTCGTCGATCCTCTTACTGGATACCATAGTAGTTTAATCGATGGCTCTTGAGGAAGACTGCAAAACAGGATAAGAGCGATAAACGCGTCACAAAACAAGCTCGGTCACCTCGGTGAATACATGTGCAGAAATTGGTCTGACTTAAAAACTAATACTCTTCATTATAACTGGGATGTATTTTTGAGTCATGTCAGAGAAAGATGCCCTGTTTTGTTTAATTTTGTCACAGAGATATCAAAATTATGAGATCACCAAACAAAAAGATCACTGTAATAGTATGCTCATAAAACCATATTTACCACGTACACGTACACATATCAAAATGAATTAAGCTTACAGCGAAAAATGCCATAGCTCTGGTATAGGACAGCAAAATTAAAGCGATTCCCAAACAGACAAGTACGGTGAAATTAAAGTATTTACTTCTCGAATCAAACGATCCCAATGAATAAACTGTTACGTTATTCTGATAATTTTCGCTACCATTTAAGACAAAATTGTCCATCTGACGGCACCTAAAACAGAAATAATACCAATTAGATCACAGATTGTAAGCAAAACACGTAAGAATATATACGATAAAAGAAAATTTAAAAGTGGAAAACAATAATTCAGTGTCATTTTGAGAATAATGCTATCGCCTTTATTTATCTGTTCAGAAAAACTACTCTGGACTGGGATGAGATTAACTGTACAAACTTCCTTTGAAAATTTCTAATGGCAACTAACTCACCTATGCTTAGCAGCCCAAGGCGTATAAACCTAGAGAATTGAGATGGCGTTTTGTATAGCCTGAATTTCTATCAATATTGTTCTGCTTATCCAGTAGGTTTTCTAGCATATAACTACTGACTGATGTTCTAATTCCTTTTCCTTACCACGTTTGATGGTGCCTAAGGATACATTGGGCTTCCTGAGTCGTTTTACACATGTAACTGTCTCCACAAGAGCGGCTGAATTTATAAATTCGCACTGAGTTGGCCAAACTTCGTAGCTTTTCCTTCACCTACATTGGAATTATGCAGCAGATGGTGAATTTTAAAATATAACATCGCGGCAAAAAGTGTTTAAACTACTAATATAAGTATAAAACTTGAACAGTGTGGTACAGTATAACTCCATTATAGATAAGATTTTATTTTGATAAAACACATAGTGTTGTACAGTAATATTAACTGATGACGCTTAGAGCACAAATGATTATGAGCTGTAATAATTTGTGCTCTAAGCGTCATCAGTTAATATTACTGTACAACACTGTGTGATTTATCAAAATAAAATCTTTCCCATAATGGTGTTTAAACTACTATCATTCGAAATTTCAATGTCAATAATTCAGTCGCTGCATCTCCTGTGAATAATAAACTCGTTTTCACATACGTTTCTGCTGCACTGTTTGCAGACATTTTCCACTATTCGCTCTCATAATCGAAAATTGCACAGAATTTCTCATTAAATGAGTCTTCTGTTTTCCATTTTTCACTATTCAAAGTGTCGATTGTGCAGATTTTTCTGCAATGAAGCGTTACAACATTGATGAGATTTTGTTTCTTAGCAAGAGGAAAAACTAATCTAAAATAAGTGCATTGGCTAACTCATAACTTGTGTCTGAAAATATCCTGCTTAATACTGACATCTGACCTTCTTGTTAGCAGGACATCAAGAAATGATGAAATATCATCCTTCTCTGTGAGTAAGCCTTGTTGAACCTTTTAAGAAGGATCTTAGTAATTATTTCATTCTTGTGCAAGATAAAAGGATCATCTATTTATGTATAATAGAACGAGACTTCATTGATTACATTTTTAAATGAACCATTGTCTAATTTTGATATAGGCATACCAGTGAAGAAATGACCCACGGGGATCCCACTTCTACGCCCTCAACTTGATGATAAATTTCGTGGTTAAACTGAAACTGCACCTTCACCTACAATGTAGTAGCAGTTCCCTTTTTTTAGATGGTATCCCTACCTTCATATAATTTTCCGGCAAGGATTCACAGCTGAAATAAGTAATATCAAAAAGCAGGACGTTAGTGGATAGGAAAGAAACATCCATTGAAATCACATTTTCGCTGTCGATCTCCTTACCTCTTACTTTCCCTATTAACTCGAATGTGTTCTTCTGGCTACACTTAGCCAATTTTAGGCTCCTTAATGTGCTACTTCCTGAAATAGTGAACTACATATGTTTTATATTGAGCAAGTTGGAAAGCTGAGATTATGAATTTTAGGTAAACCGTGCATTTTATTTAGGTTTTCTTACTACAGGTTGTAGACATTCAAAACTTTAAGGAGAGACTACACGAATAGATACTAGACTTTTCAGTATCCTAGATCATTCCTCTCTTTTTTTCTCTGTATCATCATTGCCGTTAGGTAATATTTCGAATTTTACATTATCCTGTAGAATGCTATTCGTCTTATTGATGCAGTCAGCTCCATCTAACAATATTTATTATCTTAGTGGCCGTATACGGCCTCGGTATGAGAATGTTTTATATGGGTTGGATTCATTTTAAGGCTTTAAAATGAATCCTGCTGTGGACAGTTTTTTCGCTACACCTTTCTGATTGATGCTGATTATAATTGTAAGGAGGAAAAAAGTGATTTGTCTGACTAGAAACATTTTCAAACTACATTTCAGTTTACGTAAGAATAGAACTTGTGTGCACTGTGGTAGAGTATAATTCCATTACGGGTGAAATTTATTTTGATAAAGTCTCACAGTGTTGTACACTAATATTTACTGAAAACGTTTCGAGCACAATTTATTCCTCATAATCATATCAAGGTGATATGATTAACTTAACTGGTGTTTATTTGTAATTCATTCAGAGGACAAATACTCAGTGACAAATTTCATAGTTCTACTACAATAACACTGCAAATTGCATAACCGACAATGCTTATTGTATCCCCTGGTTTCAAATTGTTCTCTAGTTGGTGCGGCTTACCGAAAAAAAAGAGTGAATGCCACTGAAGTCACGTTATCAGTCTCTATTCGTTAGCTCTTAGTATCAAGTAATCTAGACCTCCCTACCTGTCTCAAACCAACAGTCAAAAACTTAATGAATTAGCGCTATGCTTTGATTTGACCACCTATAACTATTTTCTAATTAAGTCGTATGTCAGCTAACATTGCTGGATGCGGAGAGAGGTGGGATGGCATACGTTACGCGTGTCCTAGCCCTCCCAACTGATGCAGCTTCACAACCTCGTTGACTGGTTTCTTCTCCTTGCATAAAACTAATTGTGCAGTGGGTCCCTTTCGTAGCTTACAGACTCAAGTTGAAACTTAACTGTCACTTGAATATGTGGGTGTTGGGTTTCAGCCTGATGGAGGCTGTAAACACTAAGTGGAGGGAGAGTACTTGCAGCCAGTTGTTTTAAAATAAACTGAAACTATGACACACACACACACATCACTGCTAGATACCACTAAATAAATAGTATCAAGATAATTTAGTTTCTTTTCGGTGGTAAACAATATATATCGATTTATGTCTTTTGAAACAAGTGATTTCAAATCCAGTTAACTATAAAATTGAATATAAAATTGAATGTTTCTGATTTAAAAGTGGTTGAAAGCACACCTAATTGCACACGTGTAAAAGTGGCAGAGAATATCCTTAATTTACTTTTTTATCAACTTACCAGCGAGCTAACCAAATATCCCATCCAACGTAGACACTAACGGCTAGAATAAACATAAAAACAACGCAGAAGGTCCCACAAAATCCTCCGCCTAATCGCGCCAACATACAATAATGTCTCCATCTGACGACCCTGTTTTCAGATGTAACTTTTTCTTCACCCTTGGTTACTTTTGATTTTTCACCATCAAGCAACCTTGCTTTTTCTTCATTCGAGTGGTCGTATTCACTATTTGTTCGATTATTTGAATTGTTACCTTTCATCTCCGTTTCTGCCTGAAAATTTTAACCGGAAAAAGGGTTAAGTTAACCAGTTGAAAGGCAAAAACCACAATATTTAAAGGCAACTATTTTATTCAAATGACGTAGGGTGACACAGAAACGTAGTGACAACAGTATTTCGAAGAAATATATTAACGTCAGCCTTAAAGATTTTTATATAATTAGAAAATCGGCTTGATGTAGAACATTATTCATGTGATGGGTAAAATTTATTATATCAAGGTCATTAAGAAACTTAAAAATACACTGGTTGAAGTTAAATGGTGCTTCTTAGATTAACGTTAAGACCCATTCTGATTTAGTGCTTGCTCATGTGATTTGCTTGCTGTGTACTATCTGCGGATAAAATTGCACTGAACTTGTACTCATTAACACCTTTCTCAGTTATACTGAGGATCAGAACATCATTTTTATTCCTAATCTCTTAGTTTTTCATCTTATATTACTCAGGAAAATTCATTATTCTTTGTCCTGATTGCACTCTCAAACCGATATGTCTAAAGAAGTGATCAGGTGTACAAAGTACTTCTATGATACACTAAATGTGTCAAATGAAAACTATTAACTTAATAAAATGTCCTATAAACACCATATATATTGAAAAAAAATTATATATATTTATTATATACACACGGGATCTTTATCTGACAGGATGTGATTTACACTTGGGAGAAACACCCCTTGCGATCATTCGCCTATGTACGCTAATGACATCGCTTCTAAGACTACATGTATTAAGTTCTGAATATCTATAACTTGAAATAATAGAGAACTGAAAAGTGACAAGAGTTGAAGTCTTTTGATTAACGTTCTTAAATCCTCTCTGTAAGTCGAACCTAATTTTATTGAATCAAAATGCTTACTTCGTTAGGGCAAAAGAAGGTTAGACAACTCAGACTGCCTGGAGAACCATAAAAGAAAAGCAAAAACATAACTAATTGACAAATGAGTTTTGTAAACACTACAAACGAGACTATATTGACTTTTATGCATAAATTCTCTTCTCTCCAGGTGGGTTATAGCCATGACAGATACCAGTTATTGATGCCTTTTTGACTCCTATTAGAGAAGAGAATGTCTTATGAGATAGTTTGTGTCAGACAAAACATGAGAATGGTTTTGAACGAAGGATGACAGTGATTGTAAAAGACTTCCTCCAACAATTTCCAGCTGTGTCATGCTGTCAGCTAGTCCTTTCATGTTTTTATGTGTTCTCTCAGCCAGATAGTTTCATTCCAATGCTTCTCTTGTTCATCTTAGCAATATCTTCAGCTCTTGTCTCCCAGTGAAGATTAACTGGTGTTCAAGTTATTTAGTAGACATGTTCTTGGGATTTTACCGTGTTTAAGCAACACAAATCTGTATAATATAGAATGATGAGTTAAGTGGTAGCGTAAGAGAAAGCTTGGCACTGTTTATGTGTTCTTCTAGAAGTAAAATGAAGACTTCGTAGTATTACCACCTAGTTTAGATAGCACAACGACACTAAAAATATCTGCCAGAGCTGTAAATCTTCTGTATAGTCACTGTAGGGTATTTTTTTTCCTTCACGTTCCCCAGTGGAACATAGGGCTTCAAGCTAGTGGCTTGAAGTTTCTTTAGCAGTGCTACTTATTTTTACAGGATGGGATTGCTAGCCTCATGCCCAACATTTCCTCTCCACCAGCATTATTTCTGGCTTAGCGAGGTAAAGGAGTGCGTCAGCCGGGGATCGAACCCCGGACCATGTGCAGGGTCGGCGAGCGTCCTAACCGCTATGTCACCGACGCACCGTAGGGTAGTTACACCTCATAAAACTCTGCTATATTTGTGGTTTTATAATATAAAACGCAATCCTCGTCAATAAATTTTCTTATGTGGTAGTCTGCCAGGGTTTTTGTTCCTTCATACCTACTGGGAGTATTACTCGAAGTATGCAATATCCAGTGCTCTACTTTCTATCCTCTTTGTGAAGGCAAGTTAGAAGATGACTCTGTCCAACTTTTTAGCAGTTGATTTGACTGAGACAGATCATGAAAGGGAGATATAGGAGACTTCCACATACGCACATTACATAAAGATATGTAACGTAATACAATGAAACCCGGGGATTTACACAGATAGAACTCAGTTTACTGCAAATATAGTACGGTCTATATGAACTTTAAATATTCTGTTGCTTGACAGTAACATGATGCAACATAATTTTTGACTATGAGTGGAACTGTCTAGTATGCTGGGGAGATCTTTGTTGAAAATGCAGCTGGGAGTTCCAGGGTTTTCAAGCACTCTCTACTAGGATATCTTACAGCACATGGTTTATCTACTCCAGACCGACATAGAAAGTGGGAAATTGCCTGGAATTTTTTGATGAACTTTTACTAAAAATATCTATCAGAAACAACTAGAAGAACAATGAAAACTTTGAAACTAAACCACCCGGCTAACAGAACACAAGTACTTCAAAAACATCCACCTGAGCTGAAGATTATCTCCATTATTTTAAAGTGTCATTTTTAATCACTCTGTGCCGTAAAATTAAAGTCGAGAGGCCTTACCGTCTCTAATGATCATCAGTATTTGGAATTATTCTCAAGCCGATTTAATTCTACGGGTCTGCATTCGTCATTTAATACAAAATGAACCTCCAAATTAATGAATATCATTGATCTAGTGGGACAAGTTGGTATTTTCATTTCGAAATATCAAGAAGTTTTAATTAAATTTATACACGCATAGTTTACTAAAATATCAATTAATTTTAGAGTATTTACTTACATAAGACACTTCTTTTCCCCTTTGCTGTGATGCAGAATCACTAGATGCTATTAAATGATTCCGATTCAAACTTTCTTCATTCAATGGTATCTTAGAATCAGTCTTCTTTTCTTTGTTATTACTATCAAACTTCATTAATGTATTACTGTGATCATCTTCTTTGGATTTCTGATTTGTGATTAAGAGTGAAGTGCCGTTGTTCTTACTCAATTCACTTATATGCATTTTGTTAGCTTGGATATCTTCTGCTTCTGCTGAAGAATGCAAATTGTGAAAATCTAGTCCTTTTTCACACAATTCTGAATAATTGCCAGATTCATAAATCGTACCCTATAAGAGTGATATATGTTAAAACAGTTGACATTACTTATATGAAAGGTTTATTAAAAGTCTGATTGCATTTTATTGGTAATAATTCACTACTGATAAACTGCTTGTTTCAGTAGATAAAGTCAACAAATTATTCGTTTTTTCAGATGTTAGTTAACAAAATCATATGAATTGAATGACAAATTTAGAACACGAATAAATCTTCCAAAATGGTATATGTATCAGTGATTGTGACTGGACGAGTTACATACGAGTGAAGAAGAGATTTACCAGTTATTTCAAAAAAAATAAGAAATAGACACTTCTACTCTAGTCTTACCCTTACTGTCAACAGAATCCTCTTCAGGAATTCCCTAGTAATTGTTTAGCGCATTAGAGTGAAGGTAGTCATATTGTTTCTAATACAGTTAGTCCTCATAAACCCGTTTTCAAACCAAGCTTATTATATCTGTTTGATCACAGTTGTCGTGACAAATTAAAATAATTTCCTACACTCAGTGAAAATCACAAATAACTGTACAGCTATTCCCGCAAACATGGAATATAAATATCCCTGACTAAACTCAAAATCTCAAAATCACCAAGTCAGCTTTCTCTCAATAAATTGGAATTTCAATAGTTGGTTTGTAGGGATTTGATTGGTTACAGGATTTTCATCATGAGCTGACATTAGTTATAGAGCCATTGGAAAACCTGGGAGTACTGGACAGCTGTTTCGTCCTAGTTTGGGACTCTTCATCAGTACGCACCCACCGGGATTCGGACCTAGGACCTTCTGGTTACAAGGCGAGCTCGTATACCATTAAGCCACTGGGACCCGATCCAATGGCCCATGAATTCTAACTTCTGCCAATTCACGACATAGCGCGACCCCTAGCCAATGTCTTCGGCGAGTATTTGTCCTCACACCCGACCTGCTGCACCCTACTGGTCACGACTTCTCACTAGAACCCCAGGTAACTACCTACCTGAATTAGATTTGTTTTGACGAGTTGATCACGGATTGATATCAGTTACAGAATGGTATACGAGCTTTCTTTGGAGCGGGAAGGTCCTGAGTTCGAACCCCAGTAGGTGCGTAGTACCTATGATTTCCAAACTAGGATGAAACAGCTGTCCAGTACTCCCAGTTGGTTTTCAATGGTTCTCTAACTGATATCAGTCCATGATCAACTCGTTAAAATAAATTGGGCCTCAAATAATAATAGTTCAGTAGTTTTATGACAGTAAACGAAAATGATGCAGTGTCTTTGGTAGTCACTTACAACCTGTCCTAAATATTATGAATAACTGAGAGTTAAGACTTATGACTGAAATTCTGAGATCCTTACCCCGAAATCGACCACCACTATGGGATATACTAGTTTATTTCATTGAATTTTTGGCTTGAAGTTGGTTGACTTTATGATTTCCAGTGTCAGAAGTTGACCTCAGGAACAAAATCACCGAAGTCTCTAGGACATGTTACTTAGTTTAAACCGTTTTGATAGTTTAAACTGAAATCCTCCAGATGCCATCTTGTAGTTCAACACGTGAGATGGTAGAAGTTGATATTAAAGATTCAATCTTAGTCTCTCTGCTATTATGGCAATCGTTATGTGGTGCCTTAAGTACGTATTCATTTTCATAGTGACAATAAACAATAGTCTTCATAAGTATTTGACTGGTG